CTCATACTAATTATTATTAACATTATCACGACCTGTGACAGTATGTATATGTAGATATACTGTTGGACTTTTGCCATACCAGCAGTAGTGCTGAAATATGAGCATCCTATACATCGTAGAGTTTGAGCATCTTATACATCTCAAAGAGTCATCTGACCACCACGGATGGGGCCCAACAGGGCTGATGCCGATACGGAGCCGCGGACAACCTAACGGGTTACTGGGGCTCTATCTCGAAGCGCAGGAGAAGGAACGGGGTGGTTTTTAGTCAGTAAGAGTCTGACACTCCCTTCCGCCTCACCCAGGCGGGAGCAGTCATTCGATAACTTTCCCCCTTAAAAAAATACATCGTAGGGTTAATCATAATGGGTACACCCGGCAGGTTGGTTGGAAATCACAGAAGGTTTAGGTTTGACACAGACGGTTTGTTTCTGCTAGATGTATAGTTCCTTAATCGGTTCTACTATCCCCAGGGAACTTATTCATAGGAATTCCAGGAATAAGTTTACTACAGTTACGCACGTGCAACCCTAAACATGTCTAATTCACTGATTTGACGGTTTACGTATATTTTTTATTGATTTCCTTCATAAATTCGGAATTAAATTGGTAGTATTGCATCGCAAAATAACTTATCGATAATTTCAAAGCGTTTATTGAACATATTACGTATGAATGAATTAAGAAATTCACAGTTTATGATAAAAAGAGTAACAAAACTTTTTCATTATCAACTTATTGACAAACGATCTTAAATTTTTCCCAAAACGAAAAATTAACTCACACTGTCCCCGAAGGTCGAGATTCAACCCTGACACAACAAGGAAGCTTCAGTATGAGACAAAATGTTAATCTGTCCATAGGACAAGTATATAGTTCAGAATAGGGCTGATGCACGCTCACATGTCCTTAGTGAACCGAGTGGTGGTGGTGTAGTGTTGGTTCGCCAGTGCCGGCCGATACCGCGACCAGGCTGGCCGTCCACGGCTCTTCAATCCGTTTCCACACCAGTGCGATTTGCGAAACATTTCTACGTACATTGTGCAAGCTCTATCGAAATGTTGCCTACTACGGTGCTTCTGTTTGTGCTGCATTTTGTCGCCGCTGATATACGTAAGTTTAGCAGAATTCTGTTTTCAAAATTTTCTGCGAGAAACGCTGGCTGATAAGAAAAGTACTATTAAAAAAAAACAAGACATGACACAGTTTCGAAATTTAAATTCGGTTGACATTACTGCAATAAGGAATGAGTACACACCTATTTTATTTTTTTTAATGCGTAAATTAAGGGCTTTTAAGGTAACGTAATTTCTACTATACCTCTAGAAATATTTGTTCATTAAAATTAGTGGACCATAATGAATAACAAACCCACATTAATACAATACAATACGAACATATACACGGAAAATAATAAACAGAAAGCATATTAAACTCTAATTTCTGCATCTTTTGTAATCGTAGCATAATATCGTCCTCATTTACGATATCTAAGTATGTATTTGCGGAAAAACAAGCAATTTTAATAGTTAGGTAAAAAGTGCGTCGATTTCTCGTACTCAGCGTCGATTGAGAGCGTTACTGTTGGGACACTATTGCAGAACACGACTGCAATAAACGGCCATTATACCACTGACATAGATGCTGTCTCCTATAAAAACGATATAAGTAGTTATTTAGCTCGGAATAGCTAGTTATATGTGATGTAAAAGTATTGAGATGTGTAAATACGATAATTATAGTAAATTTCCGTTTATATTTCGTTTCAAGGGAATTTATCTCAATCAAGTTAGGGCCCAAATTTAGGGGGTCAGTATTTTAGAACTCATTAGGAAAAAAATGTTTTTATCGATTTATTAGTATACACACCTATATACATATATCATAAAAAAATTCTAGGTTGATCGAAATACATTCCTGCATTTTGCTGATTTGATTTCCTATTAATTTTGCCTTAGACAGTCATCATAAACGTTTCATAATCATCATCAGATTATATTATTATCATAGTCAAAAGTTTATTAGGAGGTAATAATATGTCACCTTTCGCGGAGAACCTAACGGGTAACCGGGGCTCCGACTCGACGTGCAGGAGAAGGAACGGGGTGGTTTTTAGTCAGTAAGAGTCTGACACTCCCTCCCGCCTCACCCAGGCGGGAGCAGTCAATCGATGATTTTCCATCCTTAAAAAAATGGGTACGCAATAACGAAGTGATAAGGTGTTGGTTGAAAATGAGCGATACTATTGAACATATTAGTATTTTTGATGTGCAATTATTATTTTTGTTAATGAAGGCACTAGGATTTTCTCTTGTATCGTAAGTCCGTTTACTAGTGTATAATTTCACATGTATGTACGATGAAATCTTTTCATTCACAGTCTCATTGTTCATTGTCTATCCATCTTTTATTTGATCGGCTTCTAACCTTGGGTTACCGGGGCTCCGGCTTGACGTGCAGGAGAAGGAACGGGGTGGTTTTTAGTCAGTAAGAGTCTAACACTACCTCCCGCCTCACCCAGGCGGGAGCAGTCATTCGATGATTTTCCCCACTTAAAAAAAAACTTTTTTTCTTAATAGCTGTTGCCCGCGACTTCATCCGCGTAGAATATGATTCCTGTTTTATCCCATAGGAGCATTCAATCGGGATAAAATGTATACTATCATCTAAGTCAGCCCATTTACTGCCAATATACCAAATTTCATCAAAATCCATTTAGTCGTTTCAGCGTGATTTTAGGACAAACAAAGAAACTTTCACTTTTATAATATAATATAGTGTGATAGTATAGTGTGATGTTGTCCATAAGAACAAACGCAACAAAACAAGTGCTAGCTATATCAATTACGGAGCCGCGGAATGCCTAACGGGTTACCGGGGCTCCGGCTCGACGTGCAGGAGTAGGAACGGGGTGGTTTTTAGTCAGTAAGAGTCTGACACTCCCTCTCGTCTAACCCAAGGCGGGCGCAGTCATAGGATGATCTTACCACTAAAAAAAGCTATATCAATTAATAACTTACCGGGATCGATTTTTGCCATTAGTTGTACGAAGTTTCTGTCAAAAATCGATATATAAATCCACAGAATTGGGATTGAGATAAGTTAATGAAATTGGCAGTAAATCGTTTATGTGTGACATCAAGATCAAAGAAAGTAGAGAGATTTTTTTTTAAAGTTTCATCGTCTGTTTTCATCCTCGTTTATAACCAGGCGAGACAGTGGCCAACCGCCGACCCACTACAAAAGAAAATAAGACTTATCAATACTTTTAAGGACTATTCAAATTCAAATCATATAACTAATTGGCAGCACGGTGGTTGTGATCACTGAGTGACTGACTGCTCAACGTGTCTTAGTCGAATCCCGAATAAATTCTGCAAGTGGTCTGGGTGCGATGTGCATAGGTACATACCCAAGAGCCCACGGAACGAGAGAAATTCCCATCGTAGGGTTATAAATTTTGCGTGTGAGGAAAAAAATTACATAATTCTTTTATTATAAACCACGTTTAAAAAATCCACTTCAAACCCCTTTTTTTAAGTCTCTTATACTAAAACGTTCTCTGAAGTGTAACGAACACTTTTCTGAAAAGTTCTTCAAAATCGGTTCAGCTAATTGCGAGATAATCGGGCACCAACACAAACATACACATACAGATAAAACTGAGAACCTCCTTCTTTTGGAGTCGGTTAAAAAGGAGAAAAAGAATTCGCAATTCATTGTATCTTATATTACCTATACCTTGGAAGAATTCACCAAGCAGATATAAATTTGACTGAGATAAACTACCTCAGTCAAATTTACTGACTATTATATTTACTGATGGAACTGAGATAGTATACCAGTACAGTTATGAGACAAGCTATGACGTTTTCCAAACAATAACATGTTTAAACAATACCAACTTGTCTTAAATTTCCATTGTGCTTAGTTTATCTAGTTAAAAGGTTCATTTATTTATTTAACCTCTTTTTAAGTTTAGAAAAAACGGTATACGATATGTTTAACGGTATATAGAAATGTACCTATACACAATAACAATAGTATTCAGTTGTCACTCAATTCAAAATTAATGGAAAAACATTTGAAGAGGTGAACTAAAAGTTCAATAGTATCTAAAATACGAAACCTTAACTATGGTTGTTTTTAATTTTAAAGAACATTATAAGTTTACTAGTTATTTTTGCGTGGTTCCATTCGCTCTGCTCGGCTCCTATTGGTCATAGCGTGATGTTTTATAGCCTTCCTTGATAAATCCACTATACAACACAAAGAATTATTCAAATCGTGCCTGTAGTTCGCACGTGCCACCTGACGAAACATATCTACCTCTTCGAGAATTACATTTTTTTTTAACGGGAGAAAATCATAAAGTGACTTCTCCCGCCTAGGTGAGGCTAGGGAGTGTCAGACTTACTGACTAAAAACCACCCAGTTCCCACTCCTGCACTTCGAGCCGGAGCCCCGGTAACCTGTTAAGTTCTACGCGGCTTCGAGAATTAAATAGCGTGAGGTTTTCACAATGTAACTAATATGAGTTCGTATGCGCTTTCGAAGTTTGATTTTTGCAATGGTTCATCAGTTATTTTTTGTTTTAAACATTTTATTTATTTGTAAAACTATCTTATTACCTACATAATAGAACCATTTTACTTCGGGACGAAAACGAAATAGACTTCACTTCTATACTTAGTATAAGATTAAATAACATATCTAATGTACCATGTTGTACATATATATATATATAAATGAAACCCGTTTCCCGTTGTCACGCCATAACTTGAGAATGGCAAGACAGATTTGGCTGATTTTTTTTATTGTGTTTGTCAGGAGAAGGTTCTTTTGACATAAAAAAGTCCTGAAAATCCTACGAGCATAGTAGAAACGGGATTGCTCGTACGAAGTCGCAGGGAGAAGCTAGTAATAGAATACAATTTAAGAAAATTTTTGTCAGTTACATTTTCAAGTTTCGTGTCGACAGATAAAATATGAACTGTCAAAAACGAGAGTTTTCTATGAATTTTGTACGAGATTGTGTATTGTGACGTCACGTTTTATTAGCGTCAAACGGCATAATTATTGCTTAAAAATTTGCTGAAAATTAAATTGGTCATAAAATCAATGTGACTATTTTTTTATATATTTTATTGTATTGAATAATCAAAATAATTTATTGTTGATTCAGGAAAGTACCCAATTTACCTCAAGCATTCATTCATCATCAGCCTGTTTTCGTCCACTGCTGGACATAAGCCTCTCCAATGGCACGCCACTGAGCTCGGTCTTCAGCTCTACGCATCCAACCACTACCAGCCACTTTACGTATATCGTCACTCCACCTAGCTGGAGGGCGCCCTACACTACGTTTGCCTAGACGCGGTCTCCACTCCAGAACACGTCTACCCCAGCGGTCATCGGTTCTTCGACAAATGTGACCGGCCCACTGCCATTTCAGCTTGCTAATCCTTTGGGCTACATCGGTAACTTTAGTTCTCTGTCGGATCACCTCGTTACGGATCCTATCCTTCAGAGATACTCCGAGCATAGCCCTCTCCATAGCTCGCTGCGCTACCTTAAATTGGTGGACCAGTCGCACTGTTAGTGTCCACGTCTCGGCTCCGTATGTCATGACTGGTAGGACGCACTCGTTGAAGACTTTCGTCTTCAGGCTTTGCGGTAGAGTTGACGAAAAGACCCGATAGAGTTTCCTATATGCCGCCCAGCCAAGCTGTATCCTTCTACGAGCCTCCCTCTCGAAGTTGTTTCTACCAAACTGTAGGGTTTGTCCTAGGTAGACATACTCCTGAACAACCTCGAGAGTAGACCCATTCAGGGTGATCGGCTCCGGAAGAACATGTTCATTGAACATGACCTTCGTTTTGTCTAGGTTCATCCGGAGTCCAATGCGAGCAGAAGAATCAGCCAGGCTGTTCAGCATATATTGTAGGTCTTGCACGGTTTCAGCCACGATGACGATGTCATCTGCAAATCTCAAGTGTGAGAGATACTTGCCGTTTATATTTATGCCCCGTCCATTCCAGTGCAGCGTCTTGAACATATCCTCCAAAGCATTGGTAAATAATTTGGGAGAAATGACATCGCCTTGTCTTACCCCCCGATGCAGGTGGACAGGTTCAGACTGCTGGTTCTGTACTTGGACGACCATAGTTGCAGCATCGTATAGATCTCTCAGCACTTGGACATATCGCCAATCGACTTGGCACCGTTGCAAGGACTCCAGAACAGACCAGGTTTCAATAGAGTCAAAGGCTTTCTCGTAATCCACAAAGGCTAGGCATAGGGGCAGATTATACTCTTCAGTCTTCTGTATAATCTGCCTCATTGTATGTATGTGGTCTATGGTGCCGTATCCTCCTCGGAACCCAGCCTGCTCAGGGGGCTGAAACTCGTCGAGTCTTCGGGCGAGACGGTTAGTGATGACTCTGGAAAACAGCTTGTAGACATGGCTCAGAAGGGAAATAGGTCGATAGTTCTTCAAGAGGGTTTTGTCTCCTTTCTTAAAGAACATAACGACAACACTCCTGCTCCATGCCCTTGGAGTTCTCCCCGAGAAGAGAACGGAATCATTAAGCATTCATTATCTTACTGTAATAATTGCTCGTAAGTAATTATTAATTCATGCACACATTTATAAATGAAATTATAATAAAAGTAATGATCAAAATTATACGTTAAAAATAACACAAGTACAGTACGCTTGAATGCGCGGTTATTTCGGCGCGAGTACCTGTGTTTACGATAGTTTGTACGATGTAATCGTGTGACATAACTTGTACGCATACTCGTTCTCAATCAGCGAAAGCGTTATCTAGACTACAGGATACTTATAATAAACTATTATAGATTATACTAGCTGTAAATACGTTTTAAAAACAATTTTATAAAATACGTACTTCTGTCCAGTACTTATTTAAAACTAACAAAAAAAAAGTCAATAAGAGGTTTATAAAGTCTATGGTCATTTTCAGATTTTTAATCTGTGACTCGAGTGTACGCGCGAAAACTTTACCTTGAATCGTGTGTGCATTGTGTTTCATTAATCGGTAATTATTGCTTTAATAATTCGATTATTATATTATGTTTATAAACTGTGACATTTTGTTTTGTATTTTAATTTTAAACATATTATAAAAACTGTAGCATAAGTAAAATAGTTATATAGGACCTACATTTGGTTTTGTCAGTTTTTGCGCTACAGGTTAAAAGATATTTTTTTTTATGCGTGGTAAATCATCGAATGACGGCTCCCGCCCGGGTGAGGCAGGAGGGAGTGTCAAACTCTTACTGACTAAAAACACCCCGTTCCTTCTCCTGCACGTCGAACCGGAGCCCCGGTTACCCGTTAGGTTCTCCGCGACCCGTTAAAAGACAATAACATCGTGTTTTTTTATTGTTCCAGCATCATACATAAAAGTATGCCAGCGGAACGACCCAGAAGTAGACAAATGCATCATGAACTCAGTTGACTTGCTACGGCCTAAGATGATAGAGGTAAGAAAACTGCACAATATTGTTATACTGGCTTTGTCTGCGTTGTCAAAGGATAAGGTATCCTTCGCTTGCTAACTAGTTGTCTTCAGATACAAAAATCAGTCCATAAAACATTCTGTTGGGATGTGAAATTAAACAAACACACTGTTACATATTATATTAGGCATAAGTACTTATGTAAGTAGTAGTACATATTTATTATGGGATTAGCGACTTTGGAATATAATTAAGGAAAATGAAAAGGTCTAATACTGACGTTTTAGTAAAAATAAAGTAATTCAATTAATTTTAATAAACAAATTATAATCTTATTTACATTAACTAGCCAACAAATTGCTACCTACCTTTAATTTATACAACTTAAGGATTAATCGTCGCAATCTTCACTGTTCTTCTTTCCACCTGTTTCATCACCATAATCTTTATTTCCTTCTGGATCATCTCCATCGTCCTACTTTTCTTCTAGATCATCTCCATCATCCTTCTTGTCTTCTGGATTATCTCCATCAACCTTTTTTCGTTCTGGATTATCTCCATCAGCCTTTTTTCCTTCAGAATCATCTCCATCATCCGTCTTTTCTTCTGGATCATCTCCATCACTATTCTTTTCTTCTGGACCATCTCCATCATCATGTTTTCCTTCTGGTTTGTCACCATTATCCTTCTTTCCCTCCAAGTCATCTCCATCATCCTTCTTTTCTTCTTCTGCATCATCTCCATCATCATTTTTTCCTTCTGGATCATCACCATCATCCTTCTTTCGCTCAGGGTCGTCCCCATCACCGTTTTTTCCTTCTTCGGGATCATCTTTATCATCATTCTTTCCTTCTGGATCGTCTCCATCATTATTTTTTGCTTTGGAATCATCATCACCGTCATTCTTTTCTTCTGGATTATCACCATCATCATTGTTTTCTTCTGAATCATCACCATTAGTCTTTGCTCCTTCCGGGTCGTCTCCATCGTCCTTCTTACCCTCCGGGTCGTTTTCATCATTATTATTTTTTTCTGAATTGTTTCGAGCACCATTCTTTGCTTCTGGATCATCCCCATCGTCATCATCAGAATCTTTGTCGTTTGAAGGGCTGTCGTCTATAGCTTCCGCAGTTGCTTCAGCTTCAGCTATTGCTTCAGTTTCAGTATCATCTCCATTGTTAGAGTTCTCGTTATTATCATCTTCTCCAGGGTCGGCTTCATCATCATTATTTCCATTATGTTCATTTTCGGTATCTGGATTGCCGGAGTCACCATTATTCGTTGGATCAACATTTGTTTCTTCACCATCGTCTCCATTTCTATTATCTTCATTTCCATTATTTTCTGGAGTTTCCGAGTCGTCGTTACCTGATTGATCGTCGTCGTCTGTAACTTCAGCTACTGCTTCAGCTTCTGCAAAAGCTTCAGTTTCAGTACCTTCTACATCGTCCCCATTGTCATTGTTATTATCGTTATTTTTTTTCCCAGGATCAGTTCCATTGTCATTACTTTCATCGTCTTTCTTTGGTTTACCTTTGTTACTTTTATTTTGGTGTTTTCTTCCTTTTGGTTTAGATACCTTATCACTGTTATCGTCATCTTCCTTTTTTTCTGGCTTGTCGTCATCATTATCAGCATCTTTGTCATCATTGTCATTACTTTTATTGTCTTTCTTTCCTTCTGGCTTGTCATCATTATCAGTATTTTCATCATCTTCGTTTTCTTTTGGTTTATTTCCTTTACCTCGTTTTTCTCCACCCTTCTTATGTTTTGATTTATCACTCTTATCATCATCATTATCGTCACCATCATCATCTTGATTTTCTTTTGGCTTGCCCCCTTTACCTTGTTTATCACTGTGTTTCTTATGTTTTGACTTTTCACCCTTATTATCGTCATCATGATCATCATCATCTTTACCTTCATCGTCACTGTTTTGATTATCTTTCTTTCCTTCTAGCTTGTCATCACTATTATCATTTTCTTTTGGTTTGTCATCTCGCTTGCTATTATCTTTCTTATTTTTTGATTTGTCACCTTTATCAGGTTTTTTCTCGTCTTTTTCATCATCATTATTTTCATCATCTCTTTTATCTTCTGGTTTGGGTCTATCATCACGTTCACCTTCACCTTTCTTTTCTTTCGGTTCATCCGCTTTTCGATTTCCACTGTCATTATTTTCTTGGTTATCGTCATCAGCACTTCTCACATCAATTTCTGGATCCTTATCATCTTCAGGTTCCTTTGTTTTATTAGATGGTTTATTCGTTCCTTTATGTCTATTATCAATTTGTACTCTAACTTTAAAATCTCTGGTATTGATAATTATAGGCTTATTTGGGCTCGGATCTTTGTTCCTTTGTGTCGAATTTGTATTATCAATCACAATTGTCCAACCTGGATTAGTAGGCGCTCTAGGTGGTTGTTGCCTTCTTGGTGGATTATTATTGAAGTTTGTATAATATGGGTAAGGTATTGGGATGAATCTATAATTGTGTGGACGATTGTAGTAGGGTATCCTGTACTGTATTGTAGTTTGTCGGTTATTGTTGTTAGGTCTTGCACTTTGAGTTTGAAATGAATTGCACTGTAACAATGTAACAAAAGTTGAAGACAAAGGAATATTTTTTTTAATGTTAGCCTACCCAACCCTGTTAATAGATGTTTTAATCTTCAATTAAAAAAATAAGTTACTTCGAATGAAGCAATACGTGATATTCTACAAATTATGAAATTTAGTTAAGTAATCTCCTTTTATCTGAAACAATAGGCGTTAAGACAAAGTATGACATATTGATAACACTTGCACTCAAGGGAAAAATATAGATAATATGGTGATTTTAATATAGTTAACATTCAACTTACTTGTAACAACCCTATAAAGGCCACTAGCACAATAGTTCCACACCAGTCCATAATGAACAAATAAAGAAAATATAATATACCAACATGGTTTTATACCCTCGTACTTCAACTGATAATACAAATTGACGTATTTGTCACAAAATTTACTCATTGTCGGTGGTAAATCGGAAGCTAAAAGCACGTAGGACTCATTTTTACTCACTCAGATTACAATGTCAGGTGTTTGAATGTCCACAGTCGCGTTATCAGGTGTATGCTGCATTTTCGAATTCCTAGTTCCGATAGCGATGTAAACACGACCTAATTGTTATTGTTTTAAGTTCTGTGAAATGAGGAAATTGTGTCAAATGAAACGTGTTATTTGTTTATTTACTTACTAGCTTTCCATTGGTGGTTTCGCTCGCGTCAATGGAATAAGTATTCTTTAAAACACAGGTCATAATTAAACCTTGAAATTCAACAAATACAAATTAGTACTTTACGTAATTTACAGCACGGTTGGTGCGGTGGCTGGGAAACCGGCTGCCGCACAACGTGTCGCGGGTTCGATTCCCAACACAAAACACGGACGGAGGAATTCTTTGTGTAACCCAAAAATTGTTATTCCGGGTCTGGGTGTCATGTGTATGTGAACTTGTATGTTTGTAAACGGACCCACGACACAGGAGTAAAGCCTAGTGTGGCAACGTTTTTAAAAAAATAATAAATCAAATCTTTAAACATACGTCCACACATCAACCTATACAAAACCAGTTTATCCTGGTGTCGCGTCACATCATCTTTCCGCACATTTAACGTTCAGTTTATACTGGTTATGTAAAGCTCGATGTGTAGCTATGTGTACCTAAGTCACATCACAGGATATAAACAAATAAAATATGAATGCCAATATCACAGTGGCAATCACATCTCGACTACGCCTTTGTTACTGAATTTCAAAGCATTGTTTGTGTATCTACCTCTATAAGTTTCAAAGCAAGGTATTTGCCAACGGAAATACATAGTTAATAACTTCCGAAACCTTTAAATAAACTTAGCGCTGGATTTTATGAAAGTAAACATGTTGCAATCAGCGAAGGGACAACACCGCATCAAGTAGGTACTGTGAAGTTGTGCAAATCCAAGCAGGCAACATATCCTTGGGCATTGAATTAGGGTGAACGGCTAGACCGGTCTCTTAGGAAACATCTAACACTAATAAATTGTTAATTTGATAGCTTATTCTACGTGGATTTGGTTACAGGATTTGATGTGCTCATGTTTCTTGATAAGTTCACGTGTGTGAGGTTCGAAATGTCTTTCTTATAACATCTTTGTGTTATTGAACTACTTAGTAAGGTATTCTATCTATATTGTTATATTTTTAGCATGATTACTATAGTTTACCGCTAATTTAATTTAATTTTCAAGATCCTCATGCGATTTTGAACCTTAAATATTGCTTAGATGTAGTATCAGTGAAATACATATTTCATAAATCTTCGTACTCCCAATAACTATCCTTGAATTACAGTTACAAAATTGAGTGGTGACAAAATCTTCATCAAAAAGTCATGTAAGACAACCAGTAAAGACCTTGATTTGATTAGTAGGTTTAAATATTACAATTAAAGAAAAAAAAAGATTTGCTTCATAGTCAATTTGAAAGTGTGTCATTGTCACTTGTGTTGGCACAAACAAACAAACGACTGTGTCAAGTTGACGATGGGTGCAAAATATTGTAGCAAGCAACTGGTTTATACATACTTAATATGTATGTATAAACCATGTAAAACGCTGTCTAATAGGTAGGATTGTATTGGAATTTTTGAAATAATAGTAAGCCACGTTTGGTTTGTAAAACAAAGATTTTATCTATCTATCTATATCTATCTATATAAATAAAAATGAATTTCTGTTCGTTAGTCTCGCTAAAACTCGAGAACGGCTGAACTGATTTGGCTAATTTTGGTCTTGATAGGTTCGTGGAAGTCTAGGGAAGGTTTAAAAGGTGAGAAAAAACTTTTAGGCGGTACGAAGTTTGCCGGGTCAGCTAGTTTAACATAAAATATTTATGGTACACTAATTTATCAAGTAACAAATTAATAAGTATCCTCTAACCTGTAAAACAAAGGAACTACGATTTAGCCTATTATTTTTATTCCAATTTCCCATTTATCTTTCGTTTCTTGTTTTGACAGTTTTAAAAACCAATTTTCACATAGTAATGTGCGATCTATGGTAACATCAAAGAAGGTTAAATTACTTAAATCAAATGAGAACAATAATTTAAGAAAACATATTTTCTTTATACATATTTAATAACGGCTAGACTATGTTTCAAATCACCATGTTAAATATGTTAAAAGACAAGTTGTAAAGTGTGTAAATAAACTGCTTGTTAACTTCTGAAGGTGTGAATGAAAATTTCATAGGAACTGTAGCTGTTTGGTGCTCAAGTAACAATTTTTATTTATATGATTCACTTAAACTCGTAGTTTTAAGATTGGGTGTAATGTTTAAGTGAAAATACCTATATATAATGGAACAAAGTGTTTCTTTAAAAATCTTTGACTACTATTGAACAAATTATTATCCTCCCGTTTTGTTAAGCATCGCGGTAACTTATTAGCATCTGTATTTTTATTGGATTAGTTCAGAGCAGTGACACGGCTCAATTTCTAGAAATCAAATTAAGTGTTTTAATCTGCAGAATTGTTAACTTTAGATTTAGATTAACGGCGTTAAATTCTTTGCGATTTTTTTATTTATTTATTTATAGATCTTGGAGTAGTTACAGCTTATAAAAACTGATGACAATAAATGGTTATTGCATGGTACCAAAGAGTCAATAACAAGTCCTAAGTCCTCATATTGTAGAATCATCCAACAATGACAGTCCAAGACAGGAATGGTTAGAAAAGTTCTTTCCCCAAAATTTGCTTTTCAGAATTTAGCTTAAGCTCATTTGTATCTTAATATGCCTACATGATATGGACCCACGTGAGATAATTAGTCTATTGCAAAGTAATTTGTAGTAAAGATATATTTCTACATTTTCTAGTAATTTTCTAGTGACTGCCTCGTTGACCGAGTGGTCGCAAGTGCGACTGCTGGGCAAGGGGTCTCGGGTTCGATACCCAGGTTGGGCAAAGTATTACTGGGTTTTTAAAAAAAATCTCAATAGTAGCACGGAGTCTGGAATTGTGCCCGGCATATGGCAATAGGCTCACCCCCTATTACATGGGACTCATAACATAAACAGTGAAAAGTGGGTGTTACATTGTACAGTGGCATTAAACGCCGTAATGTACACCTCTGTCTACCTCGTCGGGGATAAAAGGCGTGATGTTATGTTATGTTTCTAGTGTGAATGGTAATTAAAACTTACCTATTCTCTACTTATCTTAGGACATCTAGAAATAAAAGGATTTGTCACAAAAGTGGTCATTATGAATTCACAGAACCTATGTAGGTCTGCTTATGTGCATTGCATACTTATTGTACCTCTATTATCTACTGAGTCAAGGTTCTATCGAATTTGTATTCTGAAACCATTATTTACCTTAAGCCTATGTAGGTAAGAATTAATTATCTTCATCTACATCTAATTAATTAGTCAGCAGTAGTCTTCGTGTGTGACAAAAAATTTAAATTGTTTTATTCAAAACTGTTTTTAAATTAATTAAAACATTACTAGTGAAGTATTTCAAAAAGCTCTACTAATTTCAAGTCAAACCGGGGCTCTTATTCCTAAGCAATGGTGATGTGACGCTAACGTCGGACAGTCAATCATATAATAAGTGCCAAATGGTCGAAAAATTGTATTCAAGCGTAGTACTTATTAGTAAGCGTTGTAGTAGTATCACTGCACGGTTGGTGCGGTGGCTGGGCAACCGGCTGCCGTGCAACTTGTCACGGGTACTATTCCCGCACGGAACATCACTTTGTGCGATCCACAAATTGTTGTTCCGGGTCTGGGTGTCATTGTGTATGTGAACTTGTATGTTTGTAAACGCACCCACGACACAGGAGAAAAATCCTAACGTGGGGCAACGATTTTATTTAAAAAAAAAACTTATAAAACATTTCTGTTTGAAATTCCAGGGTATCCCAGAGTTAAACGTGCCAGGCATCGAACCTCTAAGCTTGGGTCAGATTGCGTTGGCTCGAGGCCCTCAGGGCGCCAAGCTGACAGCAGTCGTTAATGATGTCAAAGTTCGCGGACCAAGCAACTTTATCATACAGGAACTTAAGTAAGTTTTGTCTGTGATTTTTATTTCACGTATACAATAGTGGTAGCTGGATTACGGAGCGGCGGAAGGCCTAACGAGTGTGGCTCCGGCTCGAAGAGCAGGAATAGGAACCGGTTTTTAGAGTCTGACACTCCCTATCGCCTAACCCAAGGCGGGAGAAGTCATTGGATGATTTTTCCCCCCTAAAAAAAAGTGGTAGGTGTATGCAGGTCGCTGCCAATTGACGTATCTGGAAGTAATTGGGGGAAGCCTATGTTCAGCAGTTGACGTCTTGTGGCTGATGTGATGGTGATGACAGAGTAGTGCCCTAAATAACATAACGTCACTCACGACTTTTAATCTCCATATATCTGTCAATTTCTCTCTAAGGGGTAGCCAGAGACGTAAGATGAGGTGACGTCTAGTAACATCCACTTTTCATCATTAAGTTAAAATTATTACATTTTCTTTCTTCTGGCCTTATTACTAGAAGTATTGATTTGAAAATATCTCTACAATAGACTTCCTCGTTGGCCGAGTGGTCGCAAGTGCGACTGCCGGGTAAAAGGTGTCAGGTTCGATTCCCGGGCCTGGCAAAGTACTACTGAATTTTTTTAAAAAATTCTCAGTAGTAGCACGGATTCTGGAATTGTGCTCGGTATAAGGCAATAGGCTCACCCTGTTATAGGTCTTATATGAGACTCATAACATAAATAGTGAAAAGTTTGAGAAAAGTTACATTGTACAGGGTTAAAAGGCGTGATGTTAAATGTATGTATGTTACGTATAAAAAAAGAAAAACAGTTTGCACAGGTAAAACTTTTTCTATAAACGTTATCAAGATTACATAATCTTATGTTTGTTGTTTTTTGGGACATACCAAAAAACGACAAACACAGGCTTTTGTCTTCGTACCCTTGACACCTCACGAAACGTGCAGGAGATGCTATCAACATACTCATAATTATAGAATGAGTTATTTATGCAGCACGTGTTCAGCATATAAATAGGCAGCTGATTCACTATCACACTGAATGATGACACTATATGTAGTTGAAGGTCAACGTGAACTGGATTTTACATACATACTTTTAATTGAACATAATAATGCCCTATTCTTAGACATATAAATATATATGTATTATGTCCTGCTGTGTGATGTAACCCATACTTCTCCCATGAATGTAGTAAGAACTGATCAAGGGGCTAACCATTTTACAGACACCGGGCTGTATTGCGCTCTGATAAACATATATATTGTTTTTTAAATTGCAACCTTCAACTTGGCCAATAATGGATTATAGCCCGCCCTCTTCGATAGATTCTCCAGCGCCAAGGGCTGGAGTAGGAACGGAGTGGTTTTTAGTCAGTAAGAGTCTTACACTCTCTCCTGCCTCACCCAGGCGGGAGAAGTCATTCGATGATTTTCCCCCCTTAAAAAAAATACATGCACAGGACTGTAATGGAATGTTGATACAATTTTCTGTTTAGAACCTTCTGTACCGACTGGTTTCTATCCATATTCTCTAGTAGCAAAATGTACCAAGAGATATATGTATGTATTAATAGGGCCAGTGGTCGTAATCATTGTACTGATAGCAAGATCAAATAATTATTACTTTGTATTATGACCGTACAGGAGAGCTTAATCTAATACTTTTATACAAGCAATTTTGATAATACTTATTAACGATATCTTCGGAAACGGCTCCAACGGAGGTTTCGGAGGAAATAAATCGATCACAAACGAAACCTTAGATAGTTTACATTTTCAGAAAATATCGTTTATTAAAAAAAAAGAACACCCAGCAAAGCTCGGTTATCCAGGTACTAATACAACAAACAAATTGTCTTGAGTAATGAATTATAGGCGATCGAACCAACATCCCGATTTTAATGAATAATAAGGAAAACTTACATATCGTAAACCTTTTTGTTCCTATTATATTTTCCTGACGCTTACTACCCGGATTTGTTAAACCAAACAAACTTCCCTTATGAAATGTGTGTTACACACACCTGTATTACGGGAAATTACTGAGTATTTCAGCACCTTATATAAACGTTTCCTGGCTTGAAGGATCTGTTAACATTTCCGATAGTAAATCAATTGTTTGATTATTCGGTATTAGTGAAGGCTAAGTCATGTGGAGAGAGTCTGTTTGCATTTGATATCTAGTTAGGTCTGTTTGTGTTACAATAAGGTTCAAATTATTCTATTAGGTTTTAAAAGGACCGTAATATTTTTTTTTATGGCATAAGCCGGTAAACGAGCATACGGATAACCTGATGGTAAGCAATCGGCGTCGCCCAGGGACACCTGGAAGACCAGAGGCGTTACAAGTGCGTTACCGGTCTTTTGGGATTAGGAGTTTGTGTCGTTGGGGATTCAGGAATTGGAGAGATTGGGGAAGGGGACGGTAATTGGGCCTCCGGTAACCTCACTCACACGACGAAACACAACGCAAGCGTTGCTTCACGTCGGTTTTCTGTGAGGTCGTGGTATCACTCCGGTCGAGCCGGCCCATTCGTGCCAAAGCATGGCTCTCCCACACTCCTATAAAATTATAGATAAGTTATCAGTTTAGGCATTAATAAAATCATTTTAATCTGCGGAACGAAACCAACTACGTACTAAGTTTAGGTTACTAAGGTTATTCTGTGTACTTATGCTCAAAGCATAGCATTAACATCAGTTACAAATAAAATAACAGAAACTGTATTGGAAATTGTAAACAGGCCCTGAAAATAACATATATATACAGCTACATTCTAAATAGCAAACATTTTCGAAGCTACATTTGTGATATAATAAGCGAGAAACATATGCGAAAAAGATATCAGCCCGTATTCGTTCACTTCTGGCCACAGGCCTCTCCAAATATGTGCTATTAAAATATTTAAAGAATAAAAAATATAGCAGACACAAAGCAAAAACTAGTGTCGCACATTGAACATCACATTTTCGGGGTTTAAGGTGAAATAGTAAATATAAACCTTGGTTGAACATAGACTGAATAGTTTAAGAACAATTATTTATCTTGTGGTTTCGCGAAAGCAAATATTTTAGAAGTTTGGAAGGCCATTGTATGAGACTCGACATTGGATAGCGTTGCTTTGTTTATAGACCTACATATATATGTGCCTGTATTTTTCTTCTATATTTATATTAATAAACATTCTTGAAAAACTATTTGAGAGGTAAAGGTTACAAGCAATTCAGTATGTGAAAATATTTGAATGAGTAGTTAATTAAAAATCTAACAATGGCAGACTGCGACGACACTCTAGAAAAGGCAGACATATGTAGATGGAAAGGAAATTACTTAATTAGGACTCTGTAAATGTACGTGAGGTTGTTCAACTAGTTTCAAGCCAGCCCGGGGCCCATAGTTTTTATTGTACAGAATGCATGAAAAGCTGTTTACGAGTACAGGCGACGAGATAACGGAGCGTAGTTAACTTAATTTCTAGTTAAACACATTTTTCAATTCACTTTTATGACCATGGTCTCTCATAACGTTTCAGGTCAGACCTAGACAAGAACAGGTTCGACTTCAAGCTGTTGCTGCCGAAGCTTGACTTCGCTGGCAAGTACAAGATGGACATCCAAGTGCTGCTGCTGCGACTCCAGGGCCGAGGGAACATCACGGGAACCTTCCGTTAGTATTCTTTTTTCATAGTAGTATTAATTTCATATTTTTTATTTTTATTTATTTAACTTTATGCAACAAGAGTACATAGGCGGGCTTAATGCCATGGGCATTCTTACTAGCCAACCTTTAGGTGATGCAGTGATAGCGTGGTCGGTGCAATAAGTTGACAACTTAAGAGTATCTAATATAATTTATTAAATGACAGAATACATATACCTATATCAATATCATAAACACAGATAAACATGAATACATACAACGATTTATTAACATAAAAATATATATATTTATATATTATTTATATAGGTATAGGTATTCGTTTTTGATATACCTAAGTATTATGTCGATTTACAATACACACACCAAACAATACATTACTGCATACTTACCTATATAAACTGATGCCTTTGTTCCATAATGGTTGGCACTAACTACAGGGCATCGCCTAACACGATCCTTGATACTTCTTCAACGTCTTGTTTTTCAAGCAGAGGACTCCGCACACATATATTCGGAAAATTGTACCCCCGTACTCTAAAACGGCTCTATTGGTTTTAATAGAACTGAATGTACAAGGTTCTGCCAAAATGACAAGTTTATCTAGGTTCGTGCTATATTTTGGGAGGTTCTCTCTATGGTGATATATTATTTGCACATTAAAGGGACAAAAGCAAAAAGGTCAAGCCATTTACATATATCAGTCTTAGATTATAAACGGTATTGTCGAGAATTGTGGTAATTGTAAACCCGACAATGCTGTGGTTGACCTAGGAATCAACCTTGGCTCTTACAGCAGGAATTTAACCAAACCATACTTCTTAAGCCACGTTATGATTATTAGTTATTGAGGTACCTATTAGGTATACGCGAATTTGTGCCATCTAGCCTAAACTAATATAAGATAATATAACATCACGGCTTTTAAGGCCTTTAAGGGGAAGACAGAGGTGCATATTACGGCACTTAATGTCACTGTACCATGTAACACCCACTTTTCATTATTTATGTTACGAGTCCCATGTAATAGGGGGTAAACCTATTGCCATATACCGGGCACAATTTCAGACTCCTACTACGGGGTTTTTTTTTAAAACCCAGTAATACTTTGCTTGAGCCGCACTTGCGACCACTTGGCTAACGAGGCTTTTAAAATCTTTATAAAAAAGGATTTAGCCATTTTGCAAACAGTTCAACGAAGTATTTAATTGACACGGTTACTATACTTCAAAAACAAGTCATCTGTTATTCCGAGCATATTGCAGTTCCTGTAAAACTGGTAGTAACTCGATTGTTGACTGTTATTCAACAACTTGATCGAATCAACTGATCGCTATGCTTGTTATGCAACTCACGTTTCTATGTCAAGATCATAAGGTGGAGTTTTAACAACGTATGTTCGTAATATCATGTGTTAAATTCTGTGTACTCTATAATATGTGTAACTCGTAAATACTACTACTATTGTCGACAGTTCTATTATAATCACATCACTATATAGTATAAAACAAAGTCGCTATCCGCCGTCTGTCTGTCCCTATGTATGCTTAAATTTTTAAATCTACGCAACGGATTTTGATGGGGTTTTTTTAATAGATCGAGTAATTCTTAACAGTTTGACAGCTGACAGAAACTGTTGAAGGTAAATCCTCCGCTATCGTGGCCCATACCTTGTCCCCCATGGCGTTCAAGGTGTTAAGGAAGATTTACATGTATAATACATCGCTAGTTAAAAATAATCTCCATTATTTTTTTCTCCATTATTTAGAGACTCCTATCTTGCTCGTTCTTCTCCATTCGAAACTACACTTTGGAAGGAGCACTTAGCTTCACTGACAATTCAATTTGATGTTTCAAAAGTGCCTAATTAAGGATTAATTGAAATAAATGCTTTGACTTTGACTTTGATCCTTTGACATTACTTGGGGGACTTCTATTGTGTATGTCTGTATGTTTGTCAACGCACACACGATACAGGAGAAAATCCACGTTTTAATAATAAAAAAAATGTTATAAATTGGACATAATTTGTAGCTCCGTGTTAGCACTAAGTATCTATATTAATGACAACAATACCTTGTCCGATTCGAGAATCAATACCAATATTTTTTATCTAAAACCGTGATTCTGATCAATCTAGTACTTAATATATTATATGGCTTGTAAAGTTTTGCATACAAAATAGTACTTAAATCTCTAGAATGTCAATTTACAAAATAATAGATTCATCATACTCGTGGAATACTTCGTACCTATTCATCATCCGTGCAGGAACTTGAGAGTAAATAGCTATCATTTAATGCTCTTCAAATAAGTACTAAGTTAAATATGTACTAACAATACATAAATGTTAGACATTTGTAATATTAACACTAGGTACTAACCTAGTGTATCCTTAGCTAGCTATTATTTGTTATAGAAGTATAATAAATAGTAATAAGGTAGTTAGATAATATAATAATTTATTTGCCTTTCAATGAAATTTCTAGTCATCCATTATAAGCATAAGAAGTAAAATAAATTACCACAATAGGTTATAACTCTGAATTAAAATGAACTTCAAAATTAAGGTCGCCCGTAGTTCTGAATCTGAATCCGGTCCTTAACTTCTTAATCCTCGATCATGAAAAATATACAACATTTGTAAACACAAATGTGGTCTAAACATCGGAAATAAGGTCTATAACGGAGTAAGTAGAGAGCGGTTACCAGTGACTGCTTGGGGACTGGGCACTAGTGGGTAGTTTTTGGATTCACAGAACCCTAAACGACTGTTAAAATTAATTTTCTTTTTGTCTCTTTGTTCGTGTGTTTGAACATACATAATGCAAGAACTGGATGCGGTTTAAACTGATATTTATTGCTAAAAGATTGGTTTAAAATACAGGGTCTTTTTTACAACTATAGCAAGAGAGATTATGGATAAAAGCCGTTTACTCGTCTAATTAAATAGTGTAGCAATAAATGTATTCTTTCATCACAAAAATTCTTATATTCCAATACAAACTATTAAGATTTCATAAGTGCATTAGTAAATGCAGTAACGGCAAAGTTTGTTGAACCGCGTTGCATAGGATGACGTCGCAGCTAGTAGTCTGTGGCGTCACCAGCCAGCATTGCGGTCAGTCGGGGCGCAAGGGAAGGAATGTTGCGGGATTTGGTTACTTTAAAACTAAGTACTGTTGGTAGCAATATAGCTTATAAAGGGGCTGATTTTAAGCAGTCACTATTGTCTATATACATAGGTACAGCTGCAACACCAAAGGTATCATTAGTGCATTGCGGTATGGACAATAAAGAAGGCCTTAATTGCTTCATTATTTTCGGGTTTATTATAATAACAAGGTTTCTAGCTAAATTAATACAATCATATTTTTTAATAAACGTCAAAATAAATGTCTAGGTTTTGCGGTTTAATTTAAAAAAAAGTGGTGAGCACTATCAATGTCTTATGAGAGCATCGGGTGTTCTAATATGGCTGATGCCTAGGACTAGTTAGCTATCTATATCTAGTTAAATATAATATTAATATTAATTTTAAAATAATTAACAAATATTACAATCAATCATTACCCATAAGTAAATACTGACCTTGACGTAAGGTCATAAATCTTCTACTTATACAATAAACATATTATATTCAACATTTTCCGATGACAAATATAATAATATATGTGCTAACCTGTGTACCTAGCGTTAGAGAAGTTTACTTAGATAATTATAGTTTTTATATCCTTGCAATAAAAGTGTATTTACTTTGGGTATTGAAGTTATCCACCGATGAGGCTGCTTATTAGGTATTGGTTTTGCTATATCTGACGGATTAGTAATTTGTTTGTTAAGCGTGGAATTACGGGCAAGAGATCTCTTATCATGACCTGGAGTGATGGACAACTTAACAGGTTGCCAGGGTTTCGGCTCAAAGCAGAAATAAGAACAGGGTGGTTTTTAGTCAATAAGAGTCTGACACTTTCTTACTTTGAGGTAGCGAAGCGCTGCGTCCTCGCAACCCAGCCTTCGCTAAGGACGAGCATGGGTGACCCGCCGCCCGACCAGAACCAGACCCGAGCGTAAGGCGCGTCACGTTCCCCGCGCGCCTCAAAGAGCCATCAGACCACCATGGATGAGGCCCAATAGGGCTGATGCCGATTCGGAGCCGCGGAGAACCTAACGGGTTACCGAGGCTCCGGCTCGAAGTGCAGGATTAAGAACGGGGTGGTTTTTAGTCAGTGAAAGTCTGACACTCTCTCCCGCCTCAGCAAGGCGGGAGAAGTCATTCGATGACATCCATCCCTAAAAAAAAACATGTCATAGTTCACAATTCAGTAGTGAATTGTTATGGGCAATTGGGCGGTTGATGTTAAAGAAAGAGCTATATGCCATATATGGCCAAATATAAAGACTAAGACAGGTAGAACATGATAGTGTTTCTAAAGTAAATGCGTTTATTACTTGCACCGCTAAGCTGCTCCTTCACCGAACAGTTTACTAATGCGCCATGCAATGTTTAGCATAGATGTTAACGTTACAAGCCCACACGTGCGTCCACTGTGTCACTATGTCGCTTTATGTAATCATTCGTTTTACACTTATGTATATGGCGTACGAAATGTCCCATCAGTTATAGGGCCGAAATTTACTGATCCGTAACCAAATTTATGAAGATTTTTGAAATTAGTTCTATTGAGATGGTGTCAAAAACCCTAGATTGATTCAGATTTTAATAAGGTCGTTTAACGTTTAAGCCTTTAAGGTAACCTCAATAACTTTTAAACTATAAAAATACACTCATAATATACGCATCTACATATACCCTACCTTACTCGATTATATTTTTTACAGATGATTAATATTCACAAAAAGCTTATTCACATTCATTTTAGCATAAATAATTATAATAAATATTTACAACTTAAATTTAACTACAACTAAACATATGAATAAAAAGAATTAAAAAAAGTACCCTTAATTACGCGTCAAAGTATTCGTCCGTATCACTGTAACCGGGGAGCGTTCGCATTCAATAACTTTAGCAGATTATTGTAAAACCATTTTTAATTTAACTATCAGATACAAAGATCACTCATTTGGGTCCGTTATAAATCTTGAGTATCTGAGAAAGATATTATTATAATTTTATAGTTGCGTGGGTGAAACGTAATCTTACCTTTAACTACCACTTCCTACTATGCATGTAACAAAATACGCTTCAAATTACACATAGACAACGTAATTATAACTTAGCTTGAAGATAGATGCAAATTGATCATAACTTTCGTTATTGACTAACGTAATACGTCCTCTGTGCTGTCTGTGTGTACATAAATTATTAAATAAATAAATAATATTGATGAAACATGACTAGCTAACTTTTGGTTTTAAATTAGTTTTTTTGTGTACCTCTTTATGGCAGTGGCGGGGTAAACAATTGCCAGAAAGCAGTAGCAAATTTTGTCAAGCACAACAGAAATAATTTCATCAATGTAAATTAATATCATCACCATTTATTTATTTATTTTCAGCTATGACCTTCCTACTGCATAGCAAACACCGTCGACGACGTCTATTTATATCATCACTATGATACTAATAAATTATTTTCACGTTCCAGGGGACTACGCATGCAACGTCACGATGAGAGGACACAAACAGAAGATCGGTGAAGACGAGCACCTACAGTTTGATCCCTTCAAAGTGAAACTCCGTGTCGGTCAGTCGTCCATCTACTTAACCAACTTGTTCGACGGCGATCCAGTACTGGGACCTGCTACCAACAGGGTCATCAACGAAAACTCACAAGTCTTCCTACAAGAAATCAGTCCGGTCCTAGAAAAGAGCCTTGCGGACCTCTTCACAGAAATGGCTAATAAAATAACATCAAAGTTCACTTACAAAGAATTATTCCCGTGATCCGTGCGCATATAGGAGTATACAGTAATTTTAGTTTATTTGTGATTTCGTATGTACGTCTGTTTTTATATTTGTTGGTTGTTAATGTGTCGAAAGCTTGACAAAGATCCAAAAAGTATTAGGGTTGATCTACACCACATTGAATCTCATTATCGTCTATTATAACTATCATTTTTAGTTCATATCTTGGTTCATTAAATTCATTTTGAAGTCAACCCTAAAATGCTAATTTTGTACAGTGATTAGTGTCAGAGTTAACAGATGTTAGATATAAGGTATTGGTAATATAAGTGGTAAGGTAAGTTTGTAAATAAATAGTGTAGTAGGTATAGTATTATTTAACTAAACCTGTACTGGCTGACGCAACCTGAGATTGTATGAACAAATTCTGGAAATGGATAAATGAACAAATATAAACGTATTATATTATTGTGTGTATTATAGTTTATTATATATGTTTTGTATTATATCTATTTTAATAAACATTATTCGCCAAATATGCAAAATTATTTGCACTAAATAAGATATACTGTTATTTTACTATTATATGAGTATATTTAATAATATTATCTTTATTAAGCTTTGCTTTACCTCTTCTGAAGTCCTGTGAATGTATTTATATAATTATACGTTATTTAATTTTGTGTATTTAAATGTCATGAGAATTAAGTTTTATAACAGGATATAATTCCATTATTATACTGCACATTAGTATGTAATAATATGTATTATTTTAAAATTGAACATTTACCCATATTGAATATTTATTATAATAATATTAAAACACGCACTATTTTATACAAATGTGGTTGAAAGTATTTATCCGTTTTCCTTCGCATTGAAGTTTCCATTAGAATTAAAGTTGTAATTACCACATCATTGATATGTGATATCAGAAGATAATGTAAAAATAAAATTTGTCAGTGAATTCAATATTATCTTTTATTTTATTTATATTTCTTAGGCAATTTACAACATTACATAGGCAGACCTAATGCCAGAAGTCTTCTCACCGATTTCTTTTAGTGGGTGCAATGAGGAAGAAAAAGTAAAATAATACCGTGAATTACTCTCGTGCGTAATCTATAAAAATTTCGAGTATGCCAAATAATTGAATGAGGACAACGATGCGTCCTAAGAATTGTTCCTTAATGACAGGCAAATAAACAATTAGACACCTATATTCAAAGTTTCAAAGCCACATTAGATGTAGGTGGTTGAAACGCCGCGCCCCTAGTGGCAAATAAAACAAACCGACTACGACTAAGATAGTGCGGCAGTCGACGCACTAATACAGTTTCACAGTTCAAGGTAGCTTGTAGAATAAATATTGTAGCTACTTAGTAGTTCTAACGATGAAAGTGAAGGTTGCTGCGGATAGATGGCGTGATTATTGAATAATAGGTATTTCTACGGGTAGAGCAAAACATGCTTAAAATGATTACTTATCCATTGAGAGCGTTAGTGAAACAAACAAGCAAGTCAGTTAATTTTTAGCCCTTTTCAGTCTTAGGTTTGAAAGTGAAGGTTGCTGTGGATAGATGGCGTGATTATTGAATAATGTTTCTACGGGTATAGCAAAACAATGATTATTTATCCATTAAAAGTGTCAGTGAAACAAACAGGCAAGTAACTTAATTTTTAGTCCTTTTCATTCTTAGGTTGGCGACGGGCTGCATCATCATTTACAGTCCCTGTTTTACTTGAGGCATCCGCCATTTTCCTCAAAAACTTCTTAGCAGTTAGCAGTAACACAATATATGTCTTGGTTAAACCCTTTGACAGATTTTACTTCCTACAACTTTGTGCAATAAATGCCATGGTCATCCACGAAACAAATGAGCAAGGAAAGATCATAGTAAAATTACTATAAGGAAGATAAGGATACGAATCCTTATTTACCGGTCTACTATCACTTACTTACCTACCTAATTACTTATACCATAAATATTCAATGTTCGTAGTTGAACTTGGTCCATATTTACATTCTTATGCACATCGGCTAGACATTTGTCTAGACCTTTGTTTACGTAACCTAATTCGTTGAGTGAAGGTTGTATTTATCAAACTTGGTCAACAGTGCTAATTCATTAATTATTCGTATGACAAGCAAATAATTGATTATTGGAAGTTTGGTGTTGATGAAATATCTAGTCTTATTGTTACTTTAGCTGAAAACAAGTTACTAATCTAGGTTAGGGTTGACTAATGGCCGAAATACATAAACGATATTAATCCAAAATCTTTAGACTTTTTTTATGCAGGGGAAATCAATGAATTGTCCCGCCCGGGTGAGGCGAGAGGGAGTGTCAGACTCTTACTGAATAAAAACCATCCCGTTCCTACTCCTGCACTTCGAGCCAAAGCCCCGGTAACCTTTTACGTTGTCCGCGGCTCTTTATTGCCAAACTCTTTTGATTAAGTACGAGTTTTCATAGTAGTTGCACGGAGTTTCTATCAAAAACTTAGATTACATACAAAGATATTGAATTCACATCGGATGATGGTCGTCTATATAATAGACTAGCTTTTGCCCGAGGCTTCCCCGCATTCCCCTAGGATACAAAGTACCCTATGTAGTTACCTCTATTATTCCACAATCTATCTCTGTTCCAAATATCATCCCGATACGTTTAGCCGTTTTGACGTGATTGACTGACAAACAAACATACACACTAACACACAAACTCACAAACTTTGGCATTTATTTGGCAATTATATTAAGATCAAAAACCCCCCAAAACAATAAAGGAGAATTACTTTATTGTATTTTATTTTTAGCCATGATCGTCCCACTGCAGGGCAAAGGCTTCCCTACCCTCCTTCTACTCGTCTCTTCTTTAAGCTTTCTCTGGCCAATCCTTTTCATAGGCGTCAAGCTCATCCCGTCATCTCCCTCTGGGCCTACCGGTACGTCTATTGACGTTGAATGGGCTCCACTCGGTAGTAAGTTTTCTCATCGCTCGTCTGACATGCAGCAGACATGACCAGCCCAGTTCCACTTAAAGCCTGCGGCTTTATGATCAACGTCGGCGATTTGAGTTTTGGAACCCTTTGAATAAAGGAGAATAAAAAAATATATAGTAAACTGGGACACCAATCAGAGTAGCTTTTACTCCATAAGAGTATGACGATCTCTTTCGTTTTCCCCAAGCAAGGAGGTGAGAATTTTTGAAAGGGGAGTCAAATGTCCCTCCTTTTTTCTTTGGGGTAGTTCAATTAGGTACACTCAAACAGGACGCGATTTCGGAAAATAGCGAACTTTACTATTGTGAAATGCCTAATTAGAAAAAGACGTGCAGAAGTTGCAGTTGTTTGATTTACTGACCAAATATTGAAAACATGTCTCTTCATTTGTATGACATGCATTTTGTAAGAGGAAAAAAATGCAAGTCTTGTTACTTTGTGAGTGTAATGCTAATCATGGACGATGTAAATCTAGTTTAAGCGGTCATGGTTTAAAAATGGCTGTGTGATTTATGTTCAGTTTATTCTTTTAGTACGTTGAATGCTATATTGCTTTAACTGCTTGAGGCGTATATGAGACACAATATAAAATACATTATGTCTCGCGTGGATCCATGTTTAAACACACGATGGGTTAAACAGGGTAAACGGAACACTCCCGAAAAAACAAGTAATATTTTCATATAAGTAAGGAAATAAATATTTCTTTTAGGTAATAAAAGGTGTACTCAACTGCTCAAGGCTGATGTTGCATGATTCTTTTTAAGGCATAACCCGGTTAACGAGCAGACGGACTGATGGTAAGCAATCGGCGTCGCCCATGGACACCTGGAACACCAGAGGCATTGCAAGTGCGTTACCGGCCTTTTGGGGATTAGGAGTTTGAGGATCGTTGGGGATTCAGGAATTGGAGAGATTTGGGGAAGGGGAGGGTAATTGGGCCTCCGGTAACCTCATTCACACGACGAAACACAACGCAAGCGTTGCTTCACGTCGGTTTTCTGTGAGGCCGTGGTATCACAGCCGGCCCATTCGTGCCGAAGCATGGCTCTTCCACACTTAAAAATGAATAAAACGAAAACAGAAACGATTAATATTGTTAAAACAATTTCTTTGTGTAAGCGTTTCGGGAGAGTTCCTTTTGCACCCTGTATAGGAACTAGATTCCGTCAAGTAGGTACTACAGTAGTAGTGGTAATTATTCATCTTCCATCACATTCTTATATCTGATCATAGACGCATCTTCATCTAATATTTATTTATTATTTTCCTCCAAAATAAATGAAAGACGATACCATTACGCCAACATGATTCGCAGAACGTTAGGGGTCATAGTTTCCTGATAACGAAACTGTGTGACGTCATTATTTATTATTATATAGTGAAGGCTTAGTTTTGAAACTGTTAAGAAAGGGGGCGTGCGGTTTGCGACAACCGGATCCGTGTGGATTTGTGTTGTCAAAATATAATAAATGCTTATTAGAATGTTTTTCGACCGTGCAGTCTATATTGAAATGTCTTCTGCGAATATTTTTGGCAATGGTATCTAAGAGTTTTTTTGTATCTTGTCTTTATGAAGTCTGATTTGTAGTTGGGGTTTTCTAGGCAAGAAGAAATTATATTTCCAACAGGATTTTTGTAAATAGTAAGTACATAGTGCCATATAACACACAAGTATGTAAATTTTCTGAATGGGTATGGTACAAAGTGCTACTACCTAAAGGTAAAATTACATTGGATTTTTTTGTTTTATTATTTTTTTTATTTGTTTTCTTATTTATTTTATTTTTATTTTTTTTTTTCTTTATTTTTTATTTTTATTTTTTATATTTTTTTTCTTTTTTTTTATTTATTTTTTTTTTTATTTTTTTTTTTTTTTTTTTTTTTTTTTTTTTTTTTTTATTTTATTTATTTTTTTTTTATTTTCTTTCTTGTTTTTTTTTTTTTTTTTTTGTTTTTATATTTTTTATTTTTTTTCTTTTTTTTTTTTTTTTTTTTTTATTATTTTTTTTTTTCTTTTTATTTTTTTTTTTTTTTTTTTTTTTTTTAATTATTTTTTTCATTTTTTTTATTATAATAATATTTTTTATTTTTTTTTTATTTATTTTTTTTTTATTTTTTTTTTTTTCTTATTTTTTTTTTATTTTTTTTTAATATTTTATTTTATTTATTTTTTTTAGTTTTAATTTTTTTTTTTATTTTTTCTTTTTTTTTATCTTTATTTTTTCTTTTTTTTTTTTTTTCTTTCTTTGTTTTTTTTTTTTTTTGTTTTTTATTATTTTTTTTTTTTTCTTTCTTTTTCTTTTTTTTCTCTTTTTTTTTTTTTTGTTTATTTAATTTTTGTCTTTTTTTTTTTGTTTACTTTTTATTTTATTATTTTATGTTTTTAATTTTTTTTTAATTGTTTTTTATTTTTTTTTATTTTTTTTATTTTAATGTGTTTTTATTTTTTGCTTTTTTTTTTATTACTCTTTTTTCTTCTTATTGTTGTTTTTTTTTGTTTTTTTTTTTATTTCTTGTTTTTTTTTTTTTTTTTTTTTTTTTTTTTTTTTTTTTTTTTAGTTTTTTTTTGTTTTTATTTTTTTTTTTTTTTTGTTATTTTTTTATCTATTCTTTTAATTTTTTTTTAGTTTTTTTTTTTTTTTTTGTTATTTTGTTGTCTTTTTTTCGTTTTTTTTTTTTTTCTTTTTGTATTTATTTATTTTTTTTTTGTGTATTAGTGTTTTATTTTTTTTTTTTTTTTTTCTTATATAATTTTTTTTTTTTTTTATTTTTTTATTGTTTCCTAGCTAAGCTACTAGGTGATCTGCTGTCCTACTAGCACACAAGATTGGGTGAATATAAATAAAACCGCCTCTGTGTACTGATCTAAGCTGGTATATGTTCTATATATTTGACATTAGTATTGCATTAGACATTTTGGTCTTACAAATCAATTTTACCTTATAGTTTCATTGGTAACGAAACCATAGCTCGATTTTAATTGCGACAACGCCATCTATCGAGCTATGAGACAACTTTGAACAATAATATTTTTTAACATCAACAATAAGTTTGGTCTTGAACATACCGCCCACCAAGGACATTTAGTGGCGGAATGTCCTTCTTAACAATTGTCCTTAAACTAAAAGTAACTAATATAAAAATAGGTTTTAGCATAGTAAAATTTTGCACAGGTTTAACAAAAAGACAATTCATTAACTGGTAAAATTAAAACTTTTTCTTAACATTAAATAAACTTTGAACTTAATAGTATCTAAACATAAATAAAACTTGTAACTAAAGTGAATGAAATCTTCAACAAAAACTATATAAGATAAACCTTACAACTAAACAAAAATGTTTATCACGCATAACAAGTTGAGATGATACAAAGCATGTAATTATTAAAGTACTATTTGTCTGCTACTGGCAAAATACACAGTTTGTTAGTTGGCCTCTTAATAATGCTTGTTTTGGTTTTTAATGTGACAACCCGAGTGACTTTATCATCCCCTGGATGTTTTTCGACTACACGTCCTAACATCCAACGACTTGGAGGTAGATCGTCCTCCTTAATTAGAACGACGTCTCCAATGTTTGGTTCAGGAACAATGAAAGACCATTTATATCTGTTCATTAGATTCGTAAGGTATTCATTGGACCATCGCTTCCAAAAGGATTGCAGCATTCGCTGCACGAATTGCCACCTTGTTAGAGAACCTACTGAGACATTCTCGTAATTGTAATCCGGTACAGAAACAAGCGGTTCTCCGATTAAAAAATGTCCCGGAGTCAAAGGCATAGATTCTCCTGGATCGTCTAAATGAATAACACTAATAGGCCGTGAATTCAAGCAAGCCTCGACCTGAGTAAGGAATGTAGTGAGCTCTTCATATGTGAGAGTAGACTCGCCTATTACGCGCTTAATATGGTATTTTGTGGACTTCACCCCAGCTTCCCATAGACCGCCAAAATTGGGTGCATGGGGGGGAATGAAGTGCCATTCAGTGCCATTTGCTTCTAAATTTTCTGCTATGGATGACTGCAAAGTTGAAATTTGCTGAAGTTCCCTAGAAGCACCAACAAAAGTGGTACCATTGTCGCTCCACAACTTTGAACAGTGGCCTCGTCGAGACACAAATCGTCTAAAGGCAGCTAAGAATGCCTGTGTTGTCATGTCACTGACTACTTCGAGATGAAGAGCGCGTGTAGACATACACACAAACAAACATATGTAGCCTTTGTATGATTTGTGTCCCCTACCTTTAGTGGTTCTAATGTTTATTGGACCTGCGTAATCAACACCACTGTGCAGGAACGGCCTTGCGGGGGAGCAGCGAATCGATGGAAGCGACCCCATCATTTGATTGCGAATAGTGGCTCTTTGTTTCGCACAAATGATGCACTTGCGAACGTATAGCTTCACCAGTTCTCTTACACCAATGATCCAATAAGCGGTTCGCAAATAATTAATCATTAATTGTGGACCTCCATGTAGAGTTTTACTATGAGCGTCCGCAATTATGAGTAGGGTAAAGTGTGACTTCTTGGGCAAGATTATGGGGTGCTTTATTAGTTCATCCAGTGGAGCCTTATCTATTCGTCCCTGAGCTTTCATAATGCCTTTGTCATCAAGGTAAGGACATAAGGATTTGAGTGTACTATTTTTCAAAGGTAAGTCTGATTTATCATATAATTGTTTGTACTCTGTGGAAAACTCTTTCTTTTGTACTATCTTTATACAACATTCTAATGCTTCATGTATCTCTTTCTTTTGCAGGTAAAGTTTGCTTCTGGCATCTCTGTTTAGGAATCGACGACAATATGCAACAACCTTTAATAACTTTGACAATGAAGAAAATCTCTCAAGTAAGTCAAAATCATTTGATATAATAACTCCTACATGAGTCTTAATCGACTGTTCTAAATTGATCTCTAACTCTTTTGGTCTAAAATAACTAATTTCCGTTTTTTTCAGAAACTGTGGTCCTGAAAACCACATTGTATTTTGCCTAAACAAACTTGGTGATAACCCTCGAGAGGCAACATCTGCTGGATTATCTTTAGTCGACACGTGGAACCACTGCGAAGCCATCATTGTGGTTAAGATTTCGGATGTCCTATTGGCGACAAAGGTTTTCCATTTACTGGGGTGGCTGTTGATCCAGGCTAACACCACAGTAGAGTCTGTCCACGCTTTAACCTTATCTTTGGGTATATTCAACACCTCAGCAGTTTCCATCAATAGTCGTGACAGGAGAACTGCCCCACACAGCTCTAAGCGAGGAATGCTAACTTGCTTTATTGGTGCCACGCGAGTCTTTGCAGCAACCAATGACACTTTGACCTCTCCTACGTTTTTAGTTAGTCGCATGTATACTACAGCGGAATATGCTACCTTCGACGCGTCACAAAATCCATGGAGCTCTACGTCGGTTTCTATGGTTTTCCCCAGCCAACGAGGTATATTAACTTCGGTAAGTAATGTTAGCTGTTCCCGATAAGTACGCCATTCTTCCGTTAATTGTTCAGTAAGTGGTTCATCCCAACCGAGACCCGCGAGCCATAATTTCTGTATAAAGATTTTGGCTACAACTATTGTGGGCGCTAGCCAACCCAATGGGTCGAATAATCTAGCTATATCAGAGATTACAGTTCTTTTTGTTGCAGGTGTATTCTGAAGCGGCGGGAGATGAACGGTGTACCGGAAGGAGTCATCATTACGATCCCAGGTAAGTCCCAAGATCTTCATAGTATTATCTAATTTCATTTCTAATTCCTTTTGTTCTCTATCTTTAGCTTTACTCTCATTTTCTTCGTTGTTCTCTACTTTACGCTCTATTGTATTAATTTGATCTAATAACTCTTTATTGTTAGTGCTCCACTTTTGAAGTTCGAAACCTCCTTTGGCTAAAAGTTCTTTCATTTGCTTGTAGATTTTGATGCCGGTAGTGACGTCATCGCATCCGGTCATTAAATCGTCCATATAGTAGCACTTTAGTACCTTTTCAGTCACGAGAGGATATTCGTCGCCTTCGTCGTAAGCAATTTGATGGAGAGTTCTAACCGCCAGGTAAGGTGCCGACGCCGTTCCAAAAGTAACTGTTACGAGTTCATAGTCTTTGATCGACTCGTTAGGACTGCTCCGCCAGAGTATCCTTTGAAACATAGCATCCTCATCAGCTACTCTAATTTGGCGATACATCTTAATTATATCTGCCACCAGTCCAATAGAGTGAGTTCTCCATCTCATAATTGTGTGCCTCAAGTCCGCTTGTAGTGTCGGTCCAACCATCAAAGTATCATTCAAGGAAACTCCTTTACCGTTCTTCTGAGATGCATTGAACACAACTCGAACCTTAGTAGTGGTTTTGTCTTCTCTTACGACGGCGTGATGTGGTAAATACACAGCTATTTCTTTTTTATTGTCATCTGGTTTTACAGGTCGCATGTGCCCTAAACGTAAGTATTCTTCTATTACATCCGAGTACCTTTCCTTTAGCTCAGTGTTCTTTGCCAACCGTTTCTCTAATGATTTTAATCTGTTTTCAGCTATAGCGCGAGAATCACCTGCTGTGCACTGCGGATCCTTAACTCGAAATGGTAACCGGACTTCATATCTACCGTCTGCTCTTCTTTTAGTTGTGGCCTTGTAAAAGTCTTCGCATTGTTGTTCTTCTGGCGAAAGTACCTTTTTTGTACTAGTTTGATCTTGAATTTCCCAAAACTGTTTGAGAATTTGATCTAAATTGAACTGAGCGTGTGCTACACTAACACATGGCTGTGTGTAACTTGAACTATTGTTAGTGTTTGATCTATGTACTACACCAGATAGAATCCATCCTAATGTGGTGTTCTGAGCAATTAAATTAGCAGTTGGACTTTTGATAATGCCTGTTTTTATTATGCAACCATAAACATCTGCACCTAATAAAATATCAATTTTACTAGGTTGATTGAACTGTGGGTCGGCCAACTGTAAGTTGGTGATATCGAACCAGTTAAAAGTATTTTTATTTAATGCTTGATCCGGTAAGTATGAAGTAATTTTACTAATGACGTAAGCGTTGAAATTTAATTTAAAATCTGAATCTACCCTGGATTGAATAGTTATATTCACCATATGTTTCGCTATAGTCGACTTCTGACCTAATCCTGACACCATTCCATGTATGGGAATTTTCTTAAGCCTTAAGAACTGCACTGTGTCCTCGGTCACAAAACAAGCCTGTGAACCTTGATCCAACAGAGCTCTTACTACCTGATAGTTATCCGTCTTGGACTCAGCTTTTACTAGAGCAGTGGCTAGTAAAACTTGTCCAGGAACAGGAACCGTGTTAGTAGATATGCAAGAGACTACTGGAACAGAACTAGTCGAAGGACTAGCTTCAACGACAGTAGGTTTTGATGCAGTATCACTCCTGTTAGTACCGTCCAGATTTGGGTGCAGCAAAGAATGATGACGCTTATGGCAAAGCTTGCAAGTTGTTGGCTTCTTACAGTTTATTACCGTGTGATTACCTCCTAAACAATTAAAACAAATGTTGTGTTGCGCTACAAATTTACGTCTTTCTTCCAAGGATTCCTTTGCAAATCTTTTACAAAAGCACAGTTTATGAGACTCGTTACAATACTCACAACGTATGTTGCTTGAACTCACGACCATTGATTTAGCAACATGCGAATGATTATTTTGATTTTGAAAATTTCTCTTTGGTTCTATAAATTCAAGAGCGCGGAACCGGTTCTCTAAAAACGTAGCAAATTCATCATAAGTAGGCAACTCATTGGAATTGTGATTACTTAGGCTTAATTCCCATTGTTTCCGCGTTTCTGAATCGAGCTTAAAAGTAACTATGTGGATGATAATGACATCCCAAGTTGTCACATCTACCTTTAGATTTTTCAAACCGTTAAGACAGTCATTTGTTGTGTCTAACAACTCCTTTAAAGAACTCGCTGACTCAACATGCATACGTTTTAACCCGAAAAGACGTTTCAAAATGCAGCTAACTAAATACTTTTTATTGTTGTATCTTTTCTCTAATTGTGCCCAACACTGACTGTAATTTACTTCGGAAACCGGTGTTTGTCTAACAAGCTGTTCTGCCTCACCGCTAAGATGACTCTTCAAGTAGTGCATTTTCTGAACATTGTCTAAACTACTATTGTTATGCACGAGTGATACAAATAGGTCTCTAAAAGTTGTCCACTCAGAGTATTTGCCACTAAAGTTTGGAATTGATATTTTTGGTAATTTTACAAAAGAGTTTATATTTGATTTATTTGAGTTACCAGAAGTACCAGGTTCCGAAATAGTTGCCTTAGGAACATCATATTTAGCAAGCATGGACTTAATCAGACATGTGTATGTGATATATGTGTCTTCTGTACTATCATATAATTCCGATAACATTATATTCCCTTGTTTTTCATATTGTTCATGCAGTTTAGTGTAATTAGTTACAAACAAATTCCAGTCCCGTTCTAATAACTCTCTTCTAGTTTGAATATAATCAAGAGACAGTCTTTCTTTAGGCGACTTTTTAAAATTACTCAATCCTCGCTGAATAACATTTTGAAGTTCCTTTAAAAGATTAACTAATCCTTCCATTTTATTGACTACAATAACAACTAACAAAAGATAAACAATTAACTTGTGTAAATGAACAACTCTAACCAAATTTCATCAAACTTCACAAGAACAATATAACTCAGGAATTAATCTAAGTGTAAAAATTTACTAAAATTTTTACAAGTGTTTGAACTTTAAATTACCTACTGGGACGGAAATCCGGCATAGACTCCCCGTTCCCTCGTTTTTTATAAAATTATTCTAAGTCTACCATGTACATATATTACTCTAAGATTAAATTAAGTTAAAATAAACTAAGTCTTTTCTTCATAGATCACAATCCAATAAAATATTCTAAGTCCGAAATTTCTTTGGAATAGAGTTCAAAATTGCTTGAAATCTAATAATGAAAAGAGTACTCACAGTTTGCACTTCACACTAACACACTTTGCACCTCCAAGTGGCGCCCTCTGTGGCTGCCCGCGGAACTACGCGTACGTCTCTTGACGGCTGCGCCACCTTGCTGTAGGTCTTCTAGTGGAGTGTTGATCTGAGTGGCGCCTTCTGGTGGCCACTCGTTGAACTAATCCGCCAAAGCTGGCTCAGCTCACCGCCTTAGCTGTGTGAGGCTGTCGCCGCTAGTGCGGAGGACTCGCGTACCTTTCTGTAGCGATCCACTACAGGTACGCGGAAGAGCGGCCAACACGGTGGCCGTTTTGAACTCAAAAAAACTGATCCGGGTCGTATAGGACCAATGTTTCCTAGCTAAGCTACTAGGTGATCTGCTGTCCTACTAGCACACAAGATTGGGTGAATATAAATAAAACCGCCTCTGTGTACTGATCTAAGCTGGTATATGTTCTATATATTTGACATTAGTATTGCATTAGACATTTTGGTCTTACAAATCAATTTTACCTTATAGTTTCATTGGTAACGAAACCATAGCTCGATTTTAATTGCGACAACGCCATCTATCGAGCTATGAGACAACTTTGAACAATAATATTTTTTGACTTCAACAATCAGTTTGGTCTTGAACACATAGCACTCTTAATCAATAGGAATTCTTTATCTTTACTTAATCCACAGATAATCCTCATTACACTATGTTAAAGACTATGAAGTGAAGCGACGTCTAATCATAAGGAGGTTGTAATTAAATAAAAATGTTATCGTTAGCATCCGTGTCATGTCCGTGATGAGCTGATCAGTAGGCGGGCAGCGTTTACATAAGGGAAGGTCCGTGTTTCCTGATTATGACGTGATGAGCGTCAATATGTTGTTGTAGGGTTTGTATTAGTAGCGAGTCTTTATCATATGCCTATCTACTGTCATCATCAGCAGCCCTTGATGTTTCATTACTAGATTGTAGACATTTTTTGTAGACGGGGTTCTCTATACTCATAATCTATTATGTTTCTACGTTTGTTATCTGTGCATGTCACCTGTTTTTAGCGAGTGAAATAAATGTTCTTTCTTTCTTTCTTTTGTTCTATAATCTCCATAAGGTAGATTGGAGTTCGCAGTTTATTTATTTATTTATTTAATATGCTTCATGCACAAAGTGTATAGAGGTATACATATAGGTGGACTTAATGCCGCAGGCATTTTCTACCAGTCTGAGCTTTGGGTGATGCAGAGAAGGGTAAATAGTAGGTGCAAGAGGCAAGCAACGATTTTATTTAACAAATGAAAGATAAACTAATATATTTCAGAGAGTTTAAAATGATTATAGGTTTATCAAAGTCTCTGTTAATACTAATTGTTATTCGTATGATTTTTTATAGACGCATCTGGTAGCAGTTTTCTTTTCAGCGCTGAGAAATATAAATAAATATTAATTTTAATTATTGTATCTTGAAATCAGAAAAATATTTTCCTTAAAAACACCAAAAAGTAAGCAAGTAAACTATTTAGTAGATAATATTAAAATGTTTTCCTCAATTAAATGCTCCTTTAACAGAATATTAATTCGGCCAATGTTGACAGATACGTTTTCCTCAAGCTTTAAATCATCATCATCACCATCATCTCAGCCACAGGACGTCCACTGCTGAAGATAGGCCTCCCTCAATGACTTCCAGGTAGGCCAGTTGGAAGCGACCTGCATCCAGCGGCTCCCTGCGACCTTAATCAGGTCGTCTGTCCACCTTGCGGATGGACGTCCTATTAGCAGGTTGAAGTGGCAGTGGGCAGGGCACATAGCGCGGAGAACCGACGGCCGCTGGGACAGAAAGGTTCTCGAGTAAAGGCCACGTTAAATAACTGACCTAATATAATACGCAATTAATATGGCTGCCATGACAGTATGGTAATAAGAGACGATTACAGATTACACTTAAGCTCCACATTCAAGCATTAAGATCAAACAGGTTGAGGTTATATCACTTAGCTTCATTTCTTAAATAAGTAATGTCATTTTTGCGCTTTGTAGATGGCGCCATTGCTGATTAAGATCTTTGTTGCTCAAATTAATTAGCATGGTTAAAATAAAGTGATAAGTAAAATGATACACTTGTTATAAAATGATGTAAAACGGATGTTTTTCCTTCCTAAGGAATTTTTGTGAGAAATGGGACACGAGCACGAATATCCAGAATTGGTCGACTATAAGTAGTTTGAATTGTGAAGTATCATTATCAAAACCTAGGTTTATCCTAAAATTGCGACCAGCCACCGAAAGATGGAAAGCAACATTTTTAAAAATGTTGGTGACCTCCTACTCCTCGATCCTACTCAGCATGGAAGACTTTAGTTCAGCATTCGATATATTCTGGGTGATGATGGCATGGTGTATCTAAAAAATGTAAGTAACAAAAAATGTACACCTTTGATTATCTCCTTATTGCAATACTTATATTGAAATAAACTAAACAAACAGACCGAGATACTTTGTTAATATTATGTCAGACACCGTGACTAATTTGAATAATAACATAGTTATGAATAAATATTCAAAAATTGCAAAGGAAATGTGTAATACATTATGAAATTGATAACTAATTAGTTTTATTCTTATGGAAATTTTGTCTTTTTAGAGTTAATGTGGATCAAAAGGATGTTATGCTTGATATTATTTTATTTCGTAAAACTAATTTACTGTTACTACTGGGTCTCAGGTTCGATTCCCGGGTCGGGCAAAGTATTACTGGGTTTTTAAAAATCTCAGTAGTAGCACTTAGTCTGGAGATGTGCCTGGTATATGGCAATAGGCTCACTCCCTATTACATGGGACTCGTAACATAAATAGTGAAAAGTGGGTGTTACATTGTACAGTGGCATTAAGTGCCGTAATGTGCACCTCTGCCTACCCCTTCGGGGATAAAAAGGCGTAATGTTATGTTATGTTATGTAATTTACTGTTATTCTGATAATCTATCTCTGTCATGATAGTAGTTATTACTAGTTATCTAAAGTATATTAAATGACACAATGTTTTAATGCTCGTGTACCCTATGCTAATGCCCTACCTTAAGGAAAAATTAGGTCTGAACATGGAGTCCGATCTGAGAGGGCCAAAAGACTCTCATGCTGCTGCTTCATCCAGTTTAAGAACAATCTACCTGTTCCTGATTTTGTATTTGATCCTTCAAAAGGCGCCCAGCCTTTTTGGGGATAAAAGACTAGGGAGTGTGGGATTTTTACGCCACTAAAACCACCCCGGCGGCCACCCTCAACACCTGAATGGAGGCACCGGGTCCTCTAAAAGAGACCTGCTCCGGCGCCTCCACGGTGCAACGCCTGTTACGACACATCCCTAAGGAGACGGGTGTCTCCTTTAAGCCTTGCTATCTACGGCGGCACGTGACCACTGTGCCACCGTCTTCCCTGAGACCACAGGGTGGGCACCTGATCTGGTTAGGAAGGTATTTTATTTTATTATTATTCGTGTATAGTATTGTTGTGTAAATTTGCCATAGTTGACAGTTTAAGGATATTTTACTAAATTAATTAATATTGTTTTAAAAAATATGACGGAAACGGATTCCACTTTCGTTTTTAAACCAGTTTGTACTAGAAATATTATCATTTTTATCTATTAGGATGCTTCCTCAATCAATTTCGGTTTAAGCTAGCTATCAATGATTTTATATTCTGAAATGTCACTTATATTTATTTATTTGATTTTATCATTTATTATAGTGTATTTTTTACAAAACCGTGATGTAATAATCTAATAGCGTACTCTCCGCCTCGACTGAAGTGATACTTCTAGTCTTGCAGGACACCAACGTGAAATAACCAACGCTTATATATGTATATTGCCGTGTGACTGAGGGTGGAGCGAAATTATGTTTGTTCTACTTAAACATCATAAGAGAGTGATTTCTCTACCTAACGATAAGATGCTTTGACCAGGACCGCGAGAGCTCAGGTAACAACTAAACTTTCGTCTATAATTATTACTGATGAACATTACAAAACTGAACTGAACTTCGATTTCCCAAAAATAGAAGTACATAAAAACCAAGGTATTATAAAAGTGAATTGAAAAAGCAGTCTGTAAACAATAAACCAGTATTTTGAATCAAGTTAAAACTACATTTACATAATTATTAATATGTACCTATTTATTTTAATAGTTTTACAAACTCTCAAGTCTTTAAGTCCAAAGCAACAAAGTTTTCAGATGTTATCTTAGTTTACATTGACCTTTAAGATAAAAATCAGTTTTCGTATTTTCAGGTGCTTACAGAAAATATACATATCCTGTTACACTTACGTATTCACATGTTAAAGGAAACATGTTTATAAGTAATGTATGTTGTAGTTATGTTTAAAAAAATTGGTAATTCCCAAAATTGTTTTTCCCCAAGTTGCCCAAGCTTGACACTTCGGGGCGACTCGCTGGTACAAATATCCGTTTATTCGGCGCGTGCGCTCATTCGCGATCAACTTGTCGTTGCAAACTCACCAATAATTACATTCAGTTTTAACCGACTAACACAATGAAAGTGATATTAGTTTTCTTGTTCTGTGTTGTTTGTGCACACGCTAGAGTGACGCGTAAGTATCATTATTTCATATTTTACGGGAATATTTTAAGGTGCCAGGATTTGGAAAATATTTACGGAAACTATTTGGACATAAGAGTAAATAATAACTTTTTAATCAGGTTTAAAGTGGTCATTAATTTCAGCACGGTAATTAAATTCCAATCAAGTGTATTTTCAGTGTAATTTCATTGAGAAATCGTTTCATTTCATTGAGAAATCGTTTCATTTCTGACATTTTGTTTTAAAACCGTTTTATAGACGTTTCAGTGGTTTTATTGTGGCTTAGTCTTAATGCTAATTAATTTTTATTTAACGAGTGATTGTTATCAGTTTAATACGAAGATTGACGTCATAATTTTGAGCAAACTGTTTACTTATTACTTTTGGTGATTGTTGAACTTTGGAAGCGAAGCTGAAGTAGGTATAAACACACATATAGCCGTGTCCATCAACCTCTCATTAATTTTAAGAAGGAGTTTCTTTAAGCTACGATAGATGACAATTAACGTCATTTTTGTTTGTTTTCATCAGTTTGTAAGTGACGCTCTCACTCACGCTCAGTGGCTTTAACTTAAGTGACAGTTTAGGAGAACTTAAACTGTGATAAATGATGTATTTACTTAAAATACTAAAGCCGGATACAAAAGGCATTCAACTGTTGATAATTTCGCAATACAATCTTAGTCTTAAAAGATAAGATGACATAACTTATCTAACTAGGAAAGGTAAACAGTACCTAGATGCATAATAAATGTCAGTTTGTTACGAGTCCTATTACATTGTAGGGGGTGAACCTATTACCATAGGTTAATTATTCCTATTTATCTATTTTATATACATATCTCTTAATTCCCGGGTCGGGATATGCATTAATGGTTTTTTTTTAATCTTAGTAGTAGCACGAAGTTTAGACTGTGCCCGGTATATGGCAATAGGTTCACCCCCTATTACATGGGACTCATAACATAAGTAGTGAAAAGTGGGTGTTACATTATACAGTGGTATTAAGAGCTATAATGTGCACCTCTGTTTACTCCTTCGGAGACAAAAGGCGGGATGTTATATTATGTTATACTGAAACTGTGACTACTACTATGGTGACTAACGGAAATTAAGTGTATTTATATCAATAGACTAGTAAACCCGGCGAACTCCGTTTCGCCGCCAGATGGCTTCGTTTTATGTAACATTTCGTTTGGTGATTAAAATTGAATTTTATTTGCTATAAACCTCACGGAGCCCGAGACCTTTCCAACGAATGCAAAACCGCGGAAATCGGTTCGTGCGTTCTGGAGTTATAGCGTCAGGAAGGTAAACCCGACTGATTTTTATATAGTAGACTAGCCGCCCACCCCGGCTTCGTACGGGTGCAATATGCATGTATTATACATATAAACCTTTCTTAAGAATCTCTCTATCTATTAAAAAAAACTGCATCAAAATCCGTTGCGTAGTTTTAAAGATCTAAGCATACATAGGGACAGACAGACGGCGTATAGCAACTTTGTTTTATACTATGTAGTGATAGATAGTAACCTGACTTAGATTAACTTATTTATCAATATCTTGCTAGAAATTTAAAAATTATTTCGTTATACTAGAGGCATGTTTTGCTCTATTTATGAACGTTTTTAGAGATTGCATTGTCGTGGTTGCAACATCAGTCGGCCGTTGTTTATGTAAACGAGACCTAACTGTGTAATATCTAGAGTAGATACTGGTTTGTGGTTGTTATTGTTGATAGTATTTCTTAAGTATTATTAGGAGACCAGGCAAACAGAGCGCCCTCTAGCTGGATGAAGTGACGATATCCGCAAAGTAGTAGTGGTTGGATGCGTAGAGCTGAAGATCGAGTTCAGTGACGTGACGAGAACAGGATGATGATGTAAGTAGACTAGGAGACCTTGTCAGACCCGTGCGCACGGCGCGTCACGTTCGAAAAGCCGCCATCAGACCACCACTGATGGGGCTCAATAGGGCTGATGCTCGATACGGAGTTGCCGGGGCTCCGGCTCGAAGAGCAGTAGTAGGAACGGAATGGATTTTTGTCAGTAAGACTCTGACACTCCCTCTGGCCAGCCCAAAGCGGCAGAAGACGTTGGATTATTTTCCTCCTCAATAAAAGCTAACTTATTTTTGAAGTAAAACTATTCATTAAAGTAAATTAATTGACATTGTAGTCAGTTGTGATAAGAAATGGCAATCCATTTCTGGTCAGGGCCTTCATAACATATCTTCATGCTGAAAGAAGTTGAACTGGCGACTTGTCTAATTAACAGATATAGCTAGACTGGTAGTGGCTGTTGTTTACCTTAACCTGTCATGCCAATAAGCGTTTAGCCGTAAATTAAATCATTGTAAATACATTTTCTACATTTAACTCGCCGGTCGATAATTTGTTAGTTTTAGATATCAAATCTATATTAATAAAAATGAATTGCCGTTCGTTAGTCTCGCTAAAACTTGAGAACGGCTGGACCGATTTGGCAAATTTTGGTCTTGAAATGTTCGTGGAAGTCTAGGGAAGGTTTAAAAGGTCAGCTTGTGAGTCAATAATTTCAAAATTATTATAAAGTATTACTGTAAACCGATTTCCGATACACTATAATGAAAAGTGAGGTTTTATACACAAGGTTGTTTATTTTTACAGCTATAAATACAGATATTTATTTATTTGATTGATTTTATGATTTGTATGTTACTCCTTCACGGTCAAACGAAGAAAGGAATCGAGATGAAATTTGTCCTACGAGAGCACGGGAAAAGCCGATGTCAGAAGCTAGTTTTCATATAATTTTAGGGGCTTTTACGTACAGGATATTTCTCTAAGCTAAAGAATAGTTAAACTGACATCAACAATGATCGATTGACATCGTTGCTTGAGATTTAAACTCATAATATAACATCACGCCTTTTATCCCCGAAGAGGAAGACAGAGGTGCACATTACGGCACTTTATGCCGCTGTACAATATAGCACCCGCTTGTCAATATTTATGTTATGAGTTCCATGTAATAGGGGGTGAGCCTATTGCCATAAACCGGGCACAATTCCAGACTCCGTAAAACCTAGGAATACTTTGCCCGGCCCCTAATCGAACCCTAAACCCATTCCCTAACAGTCACACTTGCGACCACTCGGCCAACGAGGCAGAAATTTAAACACACTACAGAACATTAAACTCAATAGTAAAATAAACAATATCTTATTAACAAACAACATCTTTCCTCTGCAATATGCAACAACAAAGTCGTTAACCGCCGTCTGTCTGTCCCTATGTATGCATAGATCTTTAAAACTGCGCAACGGATTTTGATACGTATTTTTTAATAGATAGAGAGATTCTTAAGGAAAGTTTATTTTTACATGCATAATATGCACCCGTGCGTAGCCGGGGCGAGTCGCTAGTGTTACATAAAAAACAATATAAATAAACACACGTGGTACCTATATAATCTCAAGGATATAAACAACTCGGTCGTTTACCAATCATTACGTGCATGATCAGTTTAAGTATGTGATTTAAGGCTCAGTATATGATGTACTATTGAAATATAGTGGAAGCTTACTGAATATATATGGGAATATTCTTCATTATAATGGTCTATTTGAATTCTGTATAAGTGTTTGTTTGATCACTCTTGGTGTTATACAAAAAATTCCCTTTGGTGATATATGTATGTAAGTTTTGCTCAGCAGAACTTGAGGTTGTCAAAGAAAATTAAGTTAGATTTCATACTTTTAAAGAAGATTATTGCCTTGGTTGGCTCTAACAAAACCCTTGTGACAAGAGGAGGGATGATGTCACAACAAGTTAATGTACTCTTGCTATTCAATCTCACCTGAACCACTGAACGATGAGAGTTTAGGCCCAGGCACAATACAAATATCAGTGTTTGTTTAAATGATAATCAATACATAGTATAAAACAAAGTCGCTTTCGCTGTATGTCCGTATGTATGCTTAGATCTTTAAAACTACGCAACGGATTTTGATGAGGTTTTTTTTAATAGATAGAGTGATTCTTAAGGAAGGTTTGTATGTATAATACATGCATATTGCACCCGTGCGAAGCCGGGGCGGGTCGCTAGTGCATGATAAAAAGGATTTGAACACCATTTATTGCGATCCAAGGATCAAATCTATAGCTAAAATCATTAGACTGAAGCAAATTAGACATGTAAATAGCACAGGATGTTATTTACCAAATTATACCAACAACATTCGTGTAATATTTGTCCAAGTTGAATCCATGCGTAAAATCGCAGGTATGTAACGGGCTTTACGCAAAGGAAATGCATCTAGCCCAAGGCTGTATCCATTCACTGTGGCCCTTATAAAGTTTGGGTCACACCTAACGATTATTTTGTCGCTAAGTGATGACAGGAAGGGTATGGTTGGATGATCAGTTAAATTAGTGTGAAACCATTAGGCGGTTATTGCAACCAGTACTGTCTTAATACGTTTTTTCCGTTGCTAAGCCAGTATTATCTAATTTGCTTGAGTTTTTTCCGTAATTAATTTAAGATTAGGTGTGTTTAAGTTAGTAAATTGTTTTACATTAATTAATAAAATATGTTAACGTATAATGCCTTGACGGTCGAGTACTGTGTGCTAGCAGGTGTAAGTTCTGGATAAGGGGTGTCAGGATCACATTGTAGTTTCTGAAAAATGTTAGGTTAGATTAGTTTGCTCATTCTTTAGGAAAACTGCGTAATATCATTACATATGTTCATAAAATAATAGATAACAATCATTTAGAAAACTAGGTTTTAATTTCCGGCCCTAGCAAATATTAATAATAGACATATTATGTCAGTCGTAAAGTGTCCTCGAATTATGACAGTATAGTGTTATTATCTAGTCCTATTGTTCAGCACCATTACGAAATACTAGGCTAGGTTCGCACTCCATACTTATTATTTAGGATTTCATAACTCCAATAGATCATACTGAGACAAATAAGGTATTCGTCTCAGTATGATCTCAGTAAGTATGATCACATATGACGTATGTTTATTTGAGAAATTAGAGTTTAGGCAAGTCTCATTGTCAAATTAAGTAAAAATCGTGGGTTACTCACGTGAATATACTGAGAAAAGCTCTACTAGTTTTGAACCACTGTAGCAGTAGGCGGCACGACATCGCCGCGACCATGAGGAAGAACCCCTCTGTGGTTCAGACACGAATGTCTCAAGATAGTTATTATAAAAACAAGTCTCATTGTTGTTTGACGTTTTCGACGATACGTGACGTAATCAAAGTATTAGTGATTCCATTTAATTACTAAAGACAATTTAATTTAACCATCCAATTTCTTAATTCACAGCGGACTACTTCCCATCATGCAAGAGGAGTGATCCCCAAATTGAGAAATGTGTTCTCAACGGCCTGGAGGCCATGAGGCCTCGTCTGAAGGAAGGTATACCTGAAGTGAACATCCCTGCCTTGGACCCCTTCACCGTGCCAACCCTGAAGCTTGACAGAACTGCTCCCAACTTGAGGCTGAAGGCTACTGTCAAGCAAGCGAAGGCATACGGCGGCAGTGACTTCAAGATTGAGAAACTGAAGTGAGACTTGATTTTCGAAATATTTATCATAGCTGACGAAATTAGGACTTAGTTGAGAAAATACTTATAAGTATATTTTTTTATTTCAAACCTTATGTTCAATTAACCGCTTGCCCCGGCTTTGTGTGGGGCTGTTCTCTGAATGTCCCATCAATGTCCAATTATTGTAAACTAGCTTTTACTCGCGGCTTCGCTCGTGTTACAAAAGGATAAAAAGTAGCCTATGTGATATATACCAATACACACAGCGCCATCTATACCAATACTTTTGTTTTCCCTCGGGAATATAAAATTTTTCCGGGATAAAAAGTACCCTATTATTTAATCCGGACCTCTAACTTTACGTCTGCAAAAATTCAAAGCAATCGGTTTAGTAGTTACGGCGTGAAAGCGGAACAAACAAACAAACTCACTTTCCGATTTATAATATTAGTAAGGATATCCAATTTTTAGTACTTATAATTTTAATGTTCAGGTTTGTAAGTTCTCACATTCAAGGGTTTGAGTTATAAGATTGTCCAACAGCTATCTTTTATATCATTATGTACTACATATTTTAACAAGAGAAAATATAGTTATACAACATCTAGATTACACGCTATAAATGATCTAGAATCCTAGTTTATGTTACCGCATGCGCGTGCGCCATATGAGTGCGGTAACTGTAAATGTTGCTTTATAAAAATGCTAGCAAGCTGAAATGATGTACCTAACAAGTGTTTATCATAGGAATACGAAGGTTACAGTTTTACGTTTCATTAATTATCTGAGATCATTGTAGATAGAATAAGATTTTTTTGTGTTGGATAGTCCATTTATTAAGGAAGGCTATAGGATATAAAACATGACGCTGCGATAACTAAAAGTCGAGCAGAGCGGGTAAAATCGAGAGGGAATAGCTGTCGTACTACATAACTAAGGCTATCGATTTCTGTAAAAACAAAGACAATATTTCTTGAATAGCATCTTAACTTCTTTCATCACATACAAAATGAAAAGGTGGTTTTACTTACCGTATACCCAATGGTTTTCAGACTGAACCTGAACAACAAATACGCTGGAGAGCTGAAGCTGACGCTGCCGAGGCTGATGGTGGTCGCCAACTACGATGTGAAGGGATCCAGGCTTCTCGCCCTAGACATCAATGGAAAGGGACGCCTGCGAGGAAACTTCAGTAAGTTATCAACTTATATTTAAGTATACCGATTTATTTACATATAATACACTTAAATAACGTAGTTATGAATAAATATACATACCTATACAACTTAAAATTAATTAAAACTAAAACAATGAATAAAAAGAAGTTAAAAAAGATATAAAAAGATAAAAAAATATCTACACTTATGCATCAAAAATAATTTATTATTTAAGTTGTAATTATACTATTTTGGTTAGGTACATTGAACACATGTACGTAAGAAGGTGTTACATCACATTTTTATCTTTCGTATGGTACACTGCCATTTTGTAGTTCCTTACAAGTGATGGTCGATGATTCCTTTACCCAAATTTTGTAATAAACAGGGTCGACTTACGACCTAAATTAATAGGTTCTTAATCCAATATCGATCCAGACTCTAAGAATCTTTAGTCAAATATCAACCTTAATTCGAAAGATTATAGATTAAAATTGGTTATAAACCTTTTGTCTGTCGATATACGAGACACAATAGGAAACACACTCGCGTAAATCTGAGTTCAGAAGTTCCACAGGTTAATTGTAGTCGTAAATGAATTGTAATCCTCTCTTAATTTAAGTGTTATCTCAGAGTAGAAGTAGAAAGACACAAATTAGACGGCTGGCGCGGATTCCCGCACGGAACAACTCTTTGTTGTTATCCACAAATTATTGTTCCGGGTCTGGGTGTCATGTGTATGTGAACTTGTATGTTTGTAAACGCACCCGCGACTCACGCGAAATTCCTAATGTGGGACAAACACTAGGATTATCGCCTGTGCCGCGGGTGCGGGCTTCAAAAAAAGTTGTTTTTCATTTTTCTATTTTTATTTTATTTACACTTCTGTATATAACATACGATAGCGGACTTAAAGCCGGGTGGCATTCTCTAACAGTCATCCATGGGGTGATGCAGAGATGTGCAACAGTAGGTGTAATAATTTTTAACTCGGTTAAAATCAAATCAACTCTTTTTGCCAGTTTAGAAACTTCTAGCATAAATTATGTTATCAAAAACAATATCTGTGGATAATAGCGGATTTCAGTTATTTACACACTAATGTTTTAATGCACAGTTTAAAAACCGCTTAGGTTTAACGCGAAGTGAATAATTTTAGGGTTAGGTAAGTATGTAATATTTAAGTACTAAATCGACTACCTCGTTGGCCGAGTTGTCGCAAGTGCTGGGCTCGGATTCGATTCTCGGGTCGGGCAAAGTATTACTGGGTTTTTAAAAAATCTCAGTAGTAGCACGGAGTCTGGAAATGTGCCCGGTATATGGCAATATGCTCACCCCCTATTACATGGGACTCATAAAATAAATTGTGAAAAGTGCGTGTTACATTGTACAGTGGCATTAAATGTCGTAATTGCGCCTCTGCCTACCCCTTCGGGGATAACAGGCGTTATGTTATGTAAACAATGCCCTTTCCATTTTCAAAATGCCTAATACTGATATTAGGTAGCAGAAAAAAAATGTGCGTTACCGGCCTTTTCGGAATTGGGAATTTGAGGATTGTAATTGGGCCTCCGGTAACCTCAGTCACACGACGAAACACAACGCAAGCGTTGCTTCACGTCGGTTTTCTGTGAGGCCGTGGTATCACTCCGGTCGAGCCGGCCCATTCGTGCCGAAGCATGGCTCTCCCACACTTAGCTTGTTTCCCATAGGTCCCAGTAGATTTACCAATTATTCTGTAAGACAAGTACTTTCTGTTTGTGTTACAAACTACACTGTTTTTTATTTGTGCATTCAGAACAATTCATAACACATTAACTAGCTGACAAGTGTGGCAATCGAAGCAATCATGCAATTTGAAATTCGAACGCTTTTTTTTTCATTGTTATGCCAAGCATGTAAATGGTTTTTTTTAATTAAATGGATGCTATTTATTACACGTGTTTATTTCTAAGTAATTATGAATTTAATAATATAATTATTCTAATTGGAGTAATACAAATGTCTTCATTGATAAGATGTTTTTTACTGTTTAAATTAAACATTTCAATATTTTTTTTTGTATCGTTTAATAAATTATGAACTTACTTATTAATAATAATTAGTAATAATGTGGTCTCTACATAAGGAATAGATTTTTTAAGTAGGTATTAGGTATCAGAATGCACACATTTACCTATAGCATAGCAAATTCAATCCTATAACTTTATTTTTTCTTCGAAATTGACAAATGAACAATTATTTTTTCAGCTGGCATCACAGTGGTAGCGAAGGGTTTCGCGAAGCCCATTGCTAAGGATGGCGTGGAGTACTTGCAGGTCGACAAGATTGTCTCCAAAGTCAGGATCAACAACGCTCAGATTGCTATTGATGACACCGAGAGGCCGCTAGCTGGTAATTATCACAATTTATCACTTTTATTATACTCACCTCACAGAAAACTCACTAGATGGCAGTAGTGGGACAAATTGTCCTCTACGTTTATAATTGATTAATTAGAAGCTGTTTTCGGTCAGATTAAGGCTTCTAACAGTATTTTAGTATTACATTGCGATTATCGTACTCTACTGCATTTGAATTTTATTTGCACTTAATCAGCCAAGAGAGCACTTCTTTTAACAGGTCTTTGATTAAACTATAAACCTCTTTGTAGTTACCTATTTCCACTTACCTTAATCTTTTTTTTTGCAGCGGCTTCAGCAGTGTCATTCTTCAACGCCAGTCCTAACGTGGTTCTGGACATCCTTAACCCCCTGATCGAGGAGACTACAGCTGCAGTCATCAAGGCATTTGTGAACAAAATCCTGGGGAGTATACCCATCAGTGAAGTGTTGACAGATGATGTTTCTGCCGCCTAATTGTAAATTCATAGGTTTTATTTAGTTTTGAGAGGGTGTTGTTAAAGCAAAACGGTTTTTTAATTTGTGGTCGTGAGTGAGCTTGTGAGTTGGCTTCAAACATATCTTAAGTAGATGACGCATGTACAAAATTAAAAAAGCTAAAATTTGGATAGCATTCGAAGAACAATAATTTGGTAATTTAGATAACATTTAAAACATGGAGTTTGCAATAATAATGACTGAATATGGTAGCATTAAATCTGTTGAAGTACAAAAAATAATATTGTATATACGTTTTTAGGCATTTTGAAGTAATTTTATAAAGCATTGGCAGTATATATTTATCAAATGTAAACCTATAAACTGTTTATTGACGACCGTAAAGTCTATCCAATTAGTTCTTTTATCGTCGATCCTAAACGACCGTTTTATTGGCGACTCGTTATAAAGTGAGTTTGTAATAATTTGTTACTTCATCTACTTAGAACACCTTATATAACCCCTTTCACTTAATATAAGTCTAGTTAAGAAATAGTCGATAGAATATTTATTGATTACAAAAACGTAATGTCACTTTGTCAAGGATTTCTTTAATGCGAAGCTGTGAATATCATGACACAAATTATTTCTATATCAATAGATTTATATTTCCTTTAACTATTGCTCGTGTTGTTAAAGCTATGAGAAATTATACTAAACCCTTCTTAGAAATCACACTATATATTAAACTAGCGACCCGCCCCGGCTTCGCACGGGTGCAATATGCATGTATTATACATACAAACCTTCCTTAAGAATCACTCTATCTATTAAAAAAAACCGCATCAAAATCCGTTGCTTAGTTTTAAAGATCTAAGCATACATACGGACATACAGCGAAAGCGACTTTGTTTTATACTATGTATTGATTAACTAAAAATCGCGGGTTACTTACGTGAATATACTGAGAAAAGCTCTACTAGTTTCGAACTACAGAAGGGTTCTTCCTCATGAGCAGCGTGCGCGGTATTTAGTGGTGAAAAGTATACCTACCAAAATCAGTCCAGTAGTTTTTGAGTTCATCGCGGTCGTACGCGAAATGGGATCTTTTATATTAAATTTAAGGATTCATATAGTTATTAGGTATTGTATTAGACTTTAGAATGTTGTGTTGAAACTGAAGAGTCCAAAGTTTGTTATATAGTTCGTATACTATTAGTAAACAGCTAGACAAAATTAAATGGATTGTTCTCGTCAGTGTCCTTTTTAAGGTATGAAAATAAAATAATGATTGTATGAATATTGTGATGAAGGCTGTCTAATTAGGATTAAGATTGTAAATAAATTGTACCTATATTTTACCACTGTGTTTTATTACCTACTAAAAATATTTGTATTATTTATATTTTTATTTTATAATGACTGGGTGTCGCGGGTTAGTTTCCCGCACGGAACAACTCTTTGTGTGATCCACAGATTGTTGTTCCGGGTCTGGGTGGCATGTGTATGTGAACTTGTATGTTTGTAAAAGCACCCACGACACAGGAGAAAATCCCAGAATGGGGCAACGTTTAAAAAGAAAATTTATAAAAATATTGACACTTATCGGTTAAATATTTACTTTTTTATTGGCTAATTATTGAAAATAATCTTGTTCTATATAAAACTATATACAATTAAAAATAACTGTCCGAGGAACATGACAAACAGCTCTCTCCGACTACTTTCGGCTGTATGCACATTGGGAACAAAAGAGTCCATACTCCTCAAATGCTGCTCTTCATATACGTAACTAATTTGATTAATGATCGATTTCTGACCTAGTCAATAAGGATGTAAACACACAGGATTGTGCCAACCTCGCGTAAGGTTAAGGCCAAACTGCACTCTTTCCTTATTGCCTTCATGTGACGAATACTTACTTCCGGACCGTAGATTATACCTATATAGCAGAAATATAATAAAAGTTCTTGTATATATATACTATGTTTAAAAAACCGACCTTTTTTGAGGTTGGTTAATTAAACTGTCAAACACCAAGCGGTCACCGCTGACCGCAACCTATTGTTCTATAACTGTGTCTATAATGACGGTACTCGACGAGTTAATATACCAGAATCTTCTCTTAAGTGTAACAAACACTTTTCTGAAAAACGCATCAAAATAGATTCAGCCTATCGCGAGATAATCCTGCACAAACAAACATACATACGTATCTAAATACACACGTACATACATGTCAAAATGAGAACCTACTCTATTTTTTGAAGTCGTTTAATAAGTAAATACAGATAATAAATGTTTTTGTGACAAAAATAAAGTTCTTCAAACTATAACAATATAGGTAATCCATCGTCGGCCACATCATCGCTTACCACCAGGCGAGATAGTGGGCAAACGTCAGACCCATCTAATATAAAATATATAAAATGAAAAATACAAGTAATGCTTCTACATCACCTAATTCTTCTAAATAAATTGAAAATCAAATTTTAGAATTTCGTTTTTGCATGAGACACTGGTTGTGACGTCCAGGTGCGCAGGATCATAAAATATGATTTTTTTTTCAGTTAGGTTAACTATTGGTGGAGGTCAGGTGTATACGTACTAATTGTGCACACATTATACCGTTTCACATACACATAGACAATTAAAATCAGATCTGAATCACCTGCAGCGTTTAATGCTGTCATTTCAATGAATGTCCTCTGCATACGTGCATATTTCAAATGACTAAACAACTTTGAGACAGGCATTTGTAATTGCAATCATTTCTCGCCCTTCCGACCTTCTCAAAGGTCCTATTCCTCATAAGGTAACTGGTAATACCATCAGAACTAATATAAGGGACGTTATTATATTCTGACCCATAGATGCAATAGAAATCTAGACCAAAAAGGTTTAAAAATGAATTTTTTGAAGTTAATTTTGTTAGTTATTTACGTGAATTGTGTTTGTGGAAGGCGGGTTGAAAGAAGCCGAAATGAGACGAGCTATCACGATAGTAGTGATGCATCGAGTATAAGTAAGTTATAAGATTGTTATTATTCAGTTAAGTAGTGTTCCTGTGAGCTTCAGTGTTCTTTTTGATATGGGATAAGCCAGTAAACGACCATACAGATTACCTGATGGTGGGCGCCCATGGACACCTGGAACGCCAGAGGCGTTACAAGTGCGTTACCGGCCTTTTGGGGATTTTGGGGATTAGGAGTTTGAGATTTGCAGGGGATTCATGGATTGAAGAGATTGTGGAAAGGGGGGGGGGGGGTAATTCGGTAACCTCACTCACATGACGAAACAACGCAAGCGTTGCTTCACGTCAGTTTCCTGTGAGGCCGTGGTATCACTCCTGTCGAGCCGGCCCATTCGTGCTGAAACATGGCTCTCCCACATTTAAAGAGTCTTGTAGTCATACTAATTCAATTGCTTTACCTTTTCTAAGTAGAGCAGATGAGAACAAACCTGATGAACAGATTCGTGGACTTTATTTCTTATGCAGTAAAGTATCACCAAGATTAACGATCCTGAATTTGTCTGCGGTGTTTAACAAATACTCAGTTACGAATAATTAATAACATAATTTGTAAAAATACCTCTCTGGGTATGAGTTTTCATCCACAACCATTCGATGTTTCGTGATCGATAAATTGTTATGAAAAGTAACATGGAATTTTAAATATTATTTTCTAGGTAAATCAGCATGTCACTACACGGACCCGAACGTAGCAGAATGCATCCAGCGCATAGCAGAACAGGCTAGACACCTCTTGGCTCAAGGAGTACCGTCCTTAAACATCCAGCCTCTAGAACCTCTCAAGATCCCCAGCATCAGGTTACGGCAGCACAACATGCCACAGAACAGCTTCAAATATGATGCCTGGCTGTCTGACGTCGCCTTGGAAGGACTTACTAATTATACGTTCAATAAATTGGAGTAAGTATGGTTGTGGTAACTAAAAGTCTAAAGATGTTTTCTCGCACGTAAAATATTGCACAGTTGCACGCATAGGATGAGTAGGTACAACAAAGTGCATGTGATTATGAGATTTTTGATTATCATTATGGTAGTCGAACGTGGTAACGATATGTATTGAAACAATCCATAGTCGCATTAATTTTTGAGGTTGTGTTGTCCTTACATCATTCTCACATACATGACATATATATGTTACTTACCTACAATAGGTAAAGGATTAGATAATATTCAATTAATAAATTCCTTTCAAAAGTGATTGAAATAAATGCGTTGACTTTAATTTTAACTTTATAACATCGGATGGCTTAGCACCCTGCACTGGTCCTTAGAGCAGGGTGCTGTAGCTTAAGTCAGAATAATAAGCAAGTCTTGTACCGTCACCTAGCCAACCTAAGCCAAAAATGTAATTCTGTACACACTGATTAGTTAATAGCTTCACAAAAAACGCAATGATGATTTTGTACTAAGCTATAATTAAGTTGAGGCTTAATTTGTGTTCTATCAATACTCTATACTGTTTCTTCATTTTGCAGTGTATACCCTGAAGAGTTGAAGGTGACTGCTAATATCAGTCTGCCACACTTAATGATGTCTGGGGACTACGTGGTGCTGGGAGACTTCCAGATGTTGCCCGTTGAGTCGACTGGGAAGATGGCTGCTAACTTTAGTGAGTAGTATATTTTATTGATGCCCAGGATCTTAAGATAGTTATTTTTAATTATAAGTTGGTGACACTTTCGCAGTTTATGGAATGTAGTGCATTATGGTCGTGGTGGCCCAGAGGTTTAATACGCCTGCTTCTCATGCATGAGAGTACGGGTTCGAAACCTACCAATGTGAAGTACCAATGTGACATTTTCCGAGCTATATGTAGTTTCTAAGATTATTTAGACACCACTGACAAACGGTGAAGGAAAACATCGTGAGAAAACCTGGACTTATAATTTCTAATTGTAAGTTTAAAATCGCCAACCCGCTTTGAGTAAGCGTGGTGATTAATGCCAGTTGGAGAACCACCTTCTTCGTGCCTGTGGTCAGCAGTGGTCACTTACAGGCTGTTGTTGATGATGATGAATGCATATAAATTTACATTCCAACAAACATGGTTGAGAAGTAGGAAGACATGGGTATTACAAATCAGATTGTGTTATGTAAACCCATATGTCATAGTTGTGGTCAAGGACAATCTGAGTCACATCGAAATATTAACACACTTAGGCTGTATAGAAACTAGTTTTATATTTCTGACCTGGATACATTTTGTTTAGCTTACTCTTTGTCACCCAAGGTTAATATTAATCATAACATCACACCTTTTATCCACGTAGGGGGAGGCAGAGGTGCACATTACGGCACTTAAAGTCCAATGTACAATGTAACACCCACTTTTCAGTATTTATGTTATGAAACCCATGTAATAGGGGGTAAACCTATTACCATATAATGGGCACAATTCTAGACTCCGTACTACTACTGAGATTTAAAATAAAAACGCAATAGTACTTTGATTAATATTAAAATGATCAATTTTTTTTTCTTTAGCCGAGTGCACGGCAGCTTTAGAAGCATTGGGAGCCAGGGTTCATAAGAGGATGGTGATCCGTGATGCAAGTGTACATCTGAGGTGCACGGGACCTTTGAAAGCAAGTCTCATGGAGGCACACTCTACTACTGGGGAAATGGGTGAGTTATCTTCTATCTTATAAGATTCCTAGAATACTGAGTATTTGGAAAAAATTGGTAGAAGTTTGGGGTCCGGTCCATTTAATGGTAATGGTAATAGGGTCGACGTATATTTTTTCCTTTTATATCTGTTCACTATCTCGCCTGGTGGTAAGCGATGATGCGGTCTACGATGGAGCACGTCGTCCCATAAGCAACCTATTCACTCGGGCCTTGAAGACATCCAGTTTACCCTTCAGGGAATACAGACTCTGGCAAAGAATGCAACTCCTTAGCAGTACACACAAGGAAGCTTCATGCGAAGCGATTCGTGCGTGTGGGTTTGGTATCTACCATGAATTGGTAACGCTTCACCAATTGTCTTGTGGTACGATGATGGAAAGGACTAGGGGAATCAAGTTGTCCAAATGTTATTTGGGAGTCATTTTAAAATATTTCTGTGTCCATTACTGTAATATCTGTTTAGTGTGCATTCTTCAAGATGATATTCAATTGCAAAAAAGTACGACGCCACCTTTTCCACAAAAATTTAAGGCCAATTTTTATTTTCAATTTAAATACACAATGACGATGACGACAGGGTATGAAAATTAAAAATCGAATTAGTCCGTAAGTTAGATACCCTATGAAAAATATTATATACGTTTTTTTTTATTTTGTCGTATAATAAAACAATACTTAGATAATACGAATCAAAAGTTTAGGAGTGGGGGCTAAAACCATTTCTACGTATAAAATGTACATAGAAGTGACGTCACGCGACATTTCAAATCAATATATCGTCGAAAGTATACGTTTCTGTAAGAAAATAAAAAATACGTGTCTAATGATTTAAAATAATCTAAGACGAAGATTGAAATAAAAATTAGGCATCTATCCTAATACTTAATTAACCATGGTAACGTTAGTTATTGATTAAAGCATTTTTCATTTTCATCATCCTCATTTTTCAGAAATGATAACGGACCACATAGCACAGATGCACTCGATGGATATCGCGAAGGAGGTCCAACCTGCTGTGGAGACAGCACTCGCTATGGTCTTGGAGGATGTAGCCAACAAGTTCCTTAAGCATATCCCTCCAGATATGGTCTTTGCAAATTAAACAGATTATTTTCGTAAGCAATATGTATGTTACAATTGGGAGACGGTATCCTCACTTCTGAAGGTTAAAAAATAATATGATTATCATCGGTAACAACTTTTTTTATTATTAACTTTTGTTGACTATGTTGCTATTAATATAGTAACAGGCGCTGTTATAATGGAAAGTCATTCTTTCTTTTCTTTGAATTTAATTTAAAGTTAAATTAGTTATGAATATGTACCTACCTAATAACTATGATTTAAGTAATTTATTTTATTAAATAGGTTGTATTGTCTGTCTATGAAGTGTACCTTATTTATTGTAGGAAAATGGAATAAAGAATATAGAATGTTTGAAAATCTTTTTCACTGCTCTTTAGGTTTACATTTTTATCCGATTACGGTGAAGCCAAAAGGAGGGTTATGATTTTGACCGGTATGTATGTATGTATGTTCATCTGTTCCCTCCTTACTCCTAAACTACTGATCTTAATTTGATAAATGGGGTATCTTTAGAAGCGTCTCATTAGTCAGCTGGTTCTAAGGTAGATAAAATATATAAAATTATACTATGGAATAGGACAATAAGAGAGAATAAAAGATTATTTAAGAAATTTTTCTCGTTTTAGTCTTTTTAGAGCGTGTTCCTTTGTATTCGGGTTTTAGTTTCGTAAACTATTTTTATTGATTTTCTTATCTGATTACCCCTATAATATGATATATCTTATATACCATGCGTTATACAATACACATCCATATGACTACATATAGTAATTAAACATACTATCATAATTTCCAAATTACATAGGAAGGGAAAGGTTATATAGGTAATTAATGGCAAACATAAAGGTAACAAAAAGATGGACGCCCATACATTGTTCACGTTCTAATTAACATTTAGTTAAAACTATCATTATTTCGTGTTCCTTTAGGTACTTATTGCAATGTTGCATTTATCTTTTGGGTGTTTCTTAAGAAGTAACGGACGTTGGTGTTTTAATGTAAGTGATTATTTTGTTCATAATGTGTTCATTAGTACCTAACTATCTAGTTTGTGTAGATTGATGATGATGATAAAAATTCAAGTTGTTTTTAGGCAGGCAGTACAAATTTTAAACTTTAGTAGAAAGATTAAAACCTTAATAAATAAGTTTAAAACTTTAATAGATAAGTTTAAAGCTTTGTACTGCCTACCACCAAAAAAGCCTCTAATTAGAGGCACTATCTAAGAAAATCCTTAGACTTGGCTTCTCCAAATAACGAACACTGATCATTTTACGATGTTAAAGCTACTTTCGCCTGTGATACAGGGCTTTCCCAAAACAGGCATCTAACTGTAGAGGTCTTTTTTTTTTTTTATTTTTTTTTTAAGGGGGGAAAATCATCGAATGACTGCCCCCGCCTGGGTGAGGCGGGAGGGAGTGTCAGACTCTTACTGACTAAAAACCACCCCGTTCCTTCTCCTGCACGTCGAGCCGGAGCCCCGGTTACCCGTTAGGTTCTCCGCGACAACTGTAGAGGTCTACATCGCTTATTAAGATAATATTTTGTATTTTGCCTATTTTATCATCAATAAAGATTATTTATTATTTACAACAATCGCTTTTCAGTATATTGAACTCACGGAACAATCCCATTGATGACTACACAAGCGATATTTTGCAAGAAAAAAATAAATAAAACAGAACATTTTTTTTTTTGATGATCACGATAGTATTTCAACTGAGTTACTACAACAAAAAGCTGATTGTGTAACAAGCCTAAAGTATGCCAATGTGCCGACTGGGCCAAACCTACACTTACATCACACTTACAACATTAAACGCACCGAATTAATATCAACTCTATTTTAAATAACCCAAGGTTCAAATTACATGTTATTATGTAGTTTTTTAGGTCAAAGACCCGTCATCACGGCGCTAAAATGCAACTTGCATTGTCACTGTTTGTTACTTCTTAAATGATTCAATATTTAATTACACTTATAGTGTTGGAAAATGTGATTTAATTCGCTAACTATAAGGTTTAATGTCGTAATAATTTAATTAGCGCTTTGTGAGAAGAAATCTAGGTATTTTAATGTGGTTGACAAACTAGTTATGAAATACTGTTTCTAGTCTTTTAAATACACATAAGATTACACGAGGTATACATAATACATATTATGAATGCAACTATTTTCACTTGGTGTTTTTCTTAGCATTCTTTGTACCCTTTTTTTTAATGGGGGAAAATCATCGAATGACTTCTTCCTGGGTGAGGCGGGAGGGAGTGTCAGACTCTTACTTGCTAAAAACCACCCCGTTCCTACTCCTGCACTTCAGGTCAGTAAAAATAGGTATTCTTTCTTCTACTATTTTCCGATCACGGTGTACCCGTATTTGAGCTCCATCACATTACAATTTTTCTTTCATATCGCTTCTCACACAACTATGCATATTTTTAAGATACCTTTATCGTTATTTCAGATATCTTGCCCAACATCAAATAGGTACTAGTCTGATTGATCAGAACATAGAAAATTTTAAAATATTACGCAAAATATCCACCTTAGAAAGATAAGAAAAAACTATTGCCTAACAAATTATCCGTCTTTGTACATGTGACAATGATTTCCTCAGTGACCGCGCGCTATCTCTATCTAATTAAGATGATGATAGCATTGATTTTGATTATCATCACGTCCCATTTTCATATTTAAATCACTTGTAGGCTCTAATTCATTATAGTGTTTTTTAGTTTGTAGTTGTCAATAGTTGTAGAAGATGATCTTGTTCGTGGTGTGTTTTGTCCTGGTTCCATTCGTGGCTGGTACTGATAAGAATTTTATTAATTGTAAGTATTGTTCACAACTACTAAACAAAACATTTAAATCTTCAAATACATTTAGAATCATGAAAAAAAAACACCAATTGTTATTTAGGTTTTCTTTTTTTTCTACGAAATATAAGGCTTTTTTATTTTTTTATTTTATTTTATTATTCTTCACATTAGGTTATATTTTCCATGTTAAATCGAACATTTATAGTACAAAATGTTTAGAGTGTTTACCTTTGCGATTACGATTGTTGGGAAAATCACCATGAGTAATTTTGGAAACTGAAAAATTTTGTAGAAACAAATCTTGTAAAACTGTAGTCTAAATCTTACGCAGTGAAATGTATGATTGCTGTAGTATGTTCTAACTATTTTTTTAATAGTTGGTGAGTTCGTGTGTCCCAGAGAAGAGAAGGCACTAGGCAGATGTCTGCGCGACGCGTTGAACGCCTACATACCACAACTAGCAACAGGTAGGGAGAATGCAACATTTTAAATCATAGCAAGTTTCACGTTCCATTTTATTTAGGACTTATTTAATGATGTGTGCATATTCAGCTGTGAATATATGTATTAATATAGTAAATAAAACTTGATAATTTAAATTCGTTAACGCTAACAAACAGTTACTTGTTCTTTTTCTGTTTAATACCATAATTTCTTAGCAAATATATGGTGCACAATGCACACATAAGCTGATCAATTAAATAGCATCTCCTATGTACTTTTAAAGGCTTAGGTATGCTCCTATGCCGCCAAATACAAATGCTAGTATCTAATTCGTAAATAGAAACATGATACAGTGAAACTTGGTTAAGTGGGACCTGGATAAGTGAGAAACCTCCATAACTGGAACTCATGCTGAGGTCCCAACACTTTGGCACTGAATTACCTCTGTTAGAAGGACGAGGTAAACCTCTATATCTGGGATTTATTCTTTCGATTTATCATCATAGTTACCTCTATAACTGAGACAGCGAATAAATTGTATATGCACAAACCTCTGTAACTGAGATAAAATTGTTTGTTTACTCATTCTTATTCTACCCACAAATTCCACACGTAATTCCAAGTCCACCTCTATTAATCGAACCCTCTGTAAATGAGACAGATATTTATTTATACATATATCTGAGACACTGGGTAAGTGGAATACCCCTTTAAGTGAAACGACATTGCAGGTCCCTGGATGTCTCACTTAACCAGGTTTCACTGTATAACAATATAAAATGTGAACATAAATAAAATTATACATAATGAATTACAGGAGTACCAGAGTACGGAGTGCCACCATGTGAGCCCCTCATAGTGCCAGCTCTCTCCATCCAGCAGTCCTCAGGGCCCATATCTGTAAGGTCTAGCTACTCCAACGTGACAGTGAAAGGACCTTCCAAAATGCGCGTTAAGGATGTTGAGTAAGTAATTTTAATATACCTTTAGATAGATTCTAGAAATGGTAATGACTAATGTATCTTATTCGCACAGCATCTTGGGCAATTAGACACCCAGGCACTGCCCCTTGTACCTGGTTAAGTATGAATTTGTTTCCCAACTGGAGGATCCACCGATCCCCCAGCTGGGGGTGCGCTCACGACTGACACTACTCCTCAGCCATGCATACCCTCGCCGCGCACCAAAACTTGGTATTGGAGGATTTTTTTATAAAGGTTATCTTCCTCGCTGTCTGGGCGACTAAGAAAGGACCCTCGTCAATAAGCTAAGGCCCAATAGGGCTGATGCCGATACGGAGTCCCGGAAAACCTAACGGGTTACCGGGCCTCCGGCTCGAAGTGCAGGAGTAGGAACGGGGTGATTTTTAGTCAGTAAGAGTCTGACAATCCCACCCGCAGCCGCAGTCATACGATGATTTCCCAAAATTAAATTTTGATCTATTAGGTGAAATTACGATACCACACAAACGAAATGTTTCATTGTTTCAGTGTGAACACACAGTTGCACCGCGTGGTTGCGAGGTTATACATCCCTGACCTTCAGATGACAGGAAACTACAGGGTGACTGGCAAGCTGCTCATGCTGCCCATCGATGGACAGGGGCATTTCGCAGCTAAATATGGTAATTGTTAAGAAAACTTTACACACAACAATTCATATTAATATTAATTATCGTGAGAAATAGTAAATTAACTAAAAATCGCGGGTTACTCATGTGAAAATACTGAGAAAAGCTCTACTAGTTTCGAA